TTTTTTTTTTTTTTTAGGGCAGTAACGTTAGCTGGCGTCAACGCCTCAAAAGGATGGTGGTGTTGTTTGGTGCCTGGGCAATGACGTCTCCTCGCTCAAGCGAATCCGGGCAGTTTCCACTGCTATTTTTGAAACTCGGTTATCTTTTTTTGTGGCAAATACCTTTTCGTACTGAATGAAATTGAGTGTTGGCTGCATGTGTGCAGACAGGAATAACTGGCAATGGCCAATATAATTCAAGTTTCTTAATTTGTAGATCTGCAATCAATGTTTCGTTGTTGAGGATAAACTCATGGCTAAACTGAAGGACTTGGCATAAATCGATAGGCGCAATAGCTAGGTAGGTAGATTTTGAGAAGGAAAGCTACTAAGGTGGTAGGTACTAGGTACCTAGGTATATAAGAGGATTGAAGACTTGACGAGCTAGGTCCCTACAGACGAGGTAGTCGTAAGTTGGGCAGAGAGACGACGAGGGGATACACTGCTGACTATCGCTCCTGATGTCCATAGGAAAGAGATAGAAAGGTAGGTACCTAGTAGGTAAGCAGGCGGCTACGTCGTCGTTTCGTGTTGAATCATGCTCCGTCTTGTTTGGTCAACCTATTTTTGTTTCAAGGCGCTGGCCTTTCGGTGAGAAAGAAAGTAAACTGACAGTTGCAGATTTGAAGCACTGTACTACCTCGAGCAGCCATTGATGACCGTTGTTCTGAAAATAGGCACCTGCAATGGCAGTGACAATGACAATGACAATGACAATGACAACCATATCAATTCATGCCATAAATGTACAGTATCATCGTGAGTCTTTGCCACCCAATCAATCAATCAACAACTCGCGACACAATACAGTACCCAGCCGCCCTTTGTAACAGTCATCCATCCATCTAATCATGAGTATCGTATTTTACCCCTACATTGTATTACAGTAATCCCACGGGTACAGAAACTTTGTTTGTTGTCCTGTCATTGCATCAGCTAAAAAAACGGCCCGCACTTGGATTTTCAGCTCAATCTTCTATTACTACGACAAGTACCAGAGGCAAAAGGCTACGTGAGACATCTCAATGTCTTGTGATAGGGCAGTTGCAAAGGAAGTAAAAGGTTTTCACCGAATTTACTCCATGATATGGATACCAACTATCCGTAGACGAATCCCTTCTGTCAACAAGAAATACCCAACTCGTGTAGAATTCTCATAACTTAACCAGGCCAGCCATTTCGTTGTACTAGTACAATGGGAAACACCGTATGTGCGTTCTTGTCTCATCCGTCCTATGCATCCAAGATGTGGATTCTTAAGCACGTACCTACCTACCTGGGTAGTTGACAAGTGACAGATAATTGCGGCGGGATCTAGATAGCCTCACCTTTCAAACCTTGGATGACAGCTTTTTGTTGTTCCCTAGCTCGTCCGAGCCCATTTCGCTTACACGCATTGATCCCCTTGTGAGCCTACCTCAACGCAGACACCTTTAACTAATGCGGACCAAACTCACAGCCAACCTTTGTTATAGTCTTCAAGTCCGACACCAAATCAGTACGGATACTTGGTGCAATAACTACTCACTACCCACTGGAAGGAAGGATTCTAACACCAGGTGCATCAGCAGCACCCCTAGTCCTTGATCAACGCCTAAACATGACCTCCACCACATCAAGATCCGAGCGAATATCCAAGCCGATCCACAACTCCAGGATACTTACTACATAAGAAACTTGATTTTCACTGTATTGAACCGATCTGGAAAGGCTTGGTGTGAAGAATTAGCTCGGCGATTGAAGAAGACGTACCCTAGTTCCGTTTGACCAGGAACATCCCCGTGGCTTGTACCTGAAGAAGAGTCCAATTCACAAAGAGACTCGGTCATAACCGTTGAGCGGTCGAGCGGCTGCAGGTAATTACTTACTGACTGACATCTGTCACTTTTGACGATGAGATGACTCTCTCATCGCTCTGGGACAAAACTGTCACCTTTTCAGTAGGTGTGGTATACTCATATCTTTGCCTAACAATCCCATGTTGTGTCTGTCATCACCTTCACCTGCGACCAGACGAGTGATGCCAAATCACAAATAAGCTTAGCTAGTCACTTTCTCCGCAATGTGGCCCCGAGGATAGGAAAAAGAAAACAACCACATTCGACCTGGAGGTCTTGCTTGGGCATCCATCTGGCCCAAACAGCGCTGATCTTTCTGTCTACGTTCTCGCGCCACGAAGAGAACTGTCCAGCGTGACACATCAGCGCTCAGCCCACAGGAGGACTAGGCTGAGAATAGTTGAGTATTCCGTCGGTATGCTCAGAGGTCGTCGATGGTACATACGGTTCCGACGACTGTTATGTGGGACATGGGACGGAACTTACCTTGTGTGCGTGTTGGAGGCACGACCATCGATCAGCGATTCTTGTAAGTTGCGCATCAGCAACCAGGATGAAACATCTGCTGGTTGTTGCAATCCATATTCCATAATGCTCAGCGGTGAAGCTTTGCTTGTTCGAGGCACACATACTTGAAGTAACATTCTCGCGATCCCATGTCAGGTCATGCAGTGCATGATCCCATCCCGTTAATTGTATCTTTGGTCTATCACCATGTCCTACAAGGAGATGCGACAACACGACAACCCACACGTGACCGAATATGACAGTTTTGTGAGCTAATCGAGACTTGCTTGCGTGATGATAGTTCCGGTATACTTTATTCGGAATATAGAATATCCTTACAGAACAGTTCGACATGATATAGATACTATAATGATGCCTGGAGAATCAAGTGAGACAGCCTCTCAATGTGCACAACATAACTCCCGCTTAAGCCAGTGCACCCATAGGGTCCCAAGGAGGCAGGATGATGGCCTCCTTCTTCAGGACGTCTTTGACCTCTTTGCTGCAAAATCGGGGATCAACAACAGCCTGGTATACAAACTCATCCAGCCAAGCGTCACTCATAACGAACCAGCCCTTATCGCCCGCAGCAGCCCCCCAGCTATTCTGCACCCTCCAGCGGACAGGCTTGCCCGTCTCATCGTCAAGGTGCACAGCTGTCAACACCATGGCATGTGTCATCTGGCTCTCCCTTGTCGTCAGTCGCTGTGCCTTGCTCATACCGAGCAAGCTGGTATTGAAGCCAAGTTCGTAGTTGAAGAGGTCAAGATCCATGATACCCGATTTGGAATCACTAAACTTGCCAACGTCGCTGCCGAAGAAAATGGGAAGACCGGCCTTGAGCATCTTGATGCAGGTTTGCTTGAGAGTATTGATATCGACGTTGACATAGCTGACTCCACGTCCACCGACAATGTTTCCAAGTCGCGAGACTGAGAGTAGCGAGAGCGGCTCGTGACGAGGGTCATGCACAAGTGAGATCATACTCTCGATTGTGGTAGATGTGACCCGGAATTCGGAGCTGTATATGTTCTTGGCGAACTCTTTAGGAGTGGCCCTGAGTTCATGAGCCTTTCCGTTCTTGTCATTGTACTGCCAAACGAAAGCCTCCTCGGGGCTAGGTGGTGGCCCGAGGAGGAGAGTCATGATAAGAGAGATCTCGCGCATCATCTTGTCCTTGACTGATGAAAGTGTCGTAGCAGACACACCCGTGTGGGAGTTGACCAATCCTCTTAGCTTAAGAGCGAACTCGCGAAGCTTGGTCTTGATGACGTTGTTGAGAACACCGGAGCTTTGAGCATTCCATGTATCTGGGTACAGGGTCTGAGGCACGATACCATACTTCTCGACGAGATTGTAAACCATATCCCACTGGCCACCATCTGAGACGATGTCACCTAGTAAGTTTTGAACAAGGCGGCCTTCGAGGTCTTCCCCAGCAGTATCGATGATCTGTTCAAGAAACCAGTTTGACTTCTCGAGTTTGTCCCAGTAGAAGAGATATTGCTGTGACAGCTCGAAACTCTCGAGATTATATCGCTTCATTAGTGCCACACGGAAAACATTTGTGGAGGCAAAGAGCCAGCAGCGACCGCTTGAACGCTGGTTTGTGATAGGGTCGCCTTCGAATGGGATCCTGACGTTGAATATCTGCTGGTCCGCGATTTCGGTAGGCAATGAAGTTAGAACCTGTCTTGGGTTGGCTGAGCTCAGCGCGGTGAGGGCAAGTCTTCCTAGCAGTCAGTAGTGAGCTGGTGCTGTACTAGTAGTAGAGTCTCACTTATTCTTGGGATCCTTAAGAACGGAAGCCTGCCATGATTCAAGCACATCGATCGAGAGGCCCTGTGCGTCTCGAATGAGAGGCTCTAGGGGTTTTTTTTCGGCGTTGTTACTGATCTCGATGAACTCTTCGTCATCCTGCATTTGAAGATTGTGAAGACACTCAAATATAGCCTTCTCATGAAGTGTTGGCTTAGATGGTTGGGCGCCCATGATGAAATGCCAGTTCAGGGTAGGTGTAGCAAGTAGTGGTTGTAAGACCTGTGTTGAGATACAGAGAATGAGGATAAGTTAGAAATAAATACCCTCAAAGAAAAGAAACTCTCTATGTAACCGAGAGTTGTCACGCGCTCTCTTATCAATCATACCTAGGTAAGCTTGCGTGTAAGAAACTAATGGGCCCTACCATCCATCCATCCCTCTTGGGCTAGGTTTCATAACGCGGGGAAGCAAGGACCTTGATGGGAAAGGCAATACCGACATGAGCGAGGAGTTCCTAAATGAGAAGCCGAAGAAAACAATATATCGCCCAGCAGGTGGAAGAAGTAAAGCAATGGTTTGGACGAACAGCCAATGACAAGACGTACAGTTAACCAAAAGGATTGAGAAGAATAATATAGATCTAGGGTAACTACTTATTGAAGATACCGGGACTTGGACAAATGGTGTCTGGGCACGGTTAGCTTGACAAAGCAAGAGGGGAAACTTGACAGATCAGTGATGAAGGCAGACAAGCATAGCTGTTCGAAAGCCAATAGCATCATATACAGGACATCTCGGGGCATCACAAGGCGAAGCGCGGATCAATGAATTATGTAGATGCGGAATCAATTGTCAATTACTATGGTTCATGTACAGAACCCTCCCATCTACGCAAAAGACTCCAATATTTCCAGCTGACCAATATGACTTATCCAATCTCGACACATAAACAAAACACGAACACTCTTAACACAACAGATCCCCTATGAAAACTTGACATTGTACAGGTGAGGCCCAAGACCGCCCAGACCCGCTCCTCATCACGAGGTGAAGCTGGTGGCTCTGTCTCTTCGCTCAATTAGGCATTGGGAAGTAGTCGCATTGTAAACGGCTGCCCGTCTTCAGAAAACAGTTGAACACGCTTACAGGCGAGAGCCGTGGATGACCTTCATGTCAACGGCGAGCTCACGGCCACCGTCGTTAAGGACGAGGACGCGAACGGAGCCACGGCCAGACTCGAAAGCGTTGTGCAGGCGAGAGTAGAGGTTGGACTGGTCAATGACAGGGAGACCCTGCTTGACATCGCCAGTCTCAGTCATGGCAACGATCTGACCCTCCTGCATGTCGAGGACACGGTACTGCTTGAAGACAGGGCCGAGCATGGACTGAACGACAACACTGGGGGCAGGGTTGGAGATGAAAGAGGACTCCTCGTGAAGCTGCTTGGAGAAGAGATCGACACCAAGGTAGCGGTACTGACCGGTAGCAGAGGAGGTAGAGATGCGGATGACCTGGCAGGGGCGGCCCTGGAGCATCAGGAAATCACCCAGACGGATGTGGTGGCATGGGATGCTGACGGTGTTGGGAACGCAGTCAGCGGAAGGGCGAGGACCCTCGTGAATGTCGACCTCGACCGAGCGGCTGCCCTTGTCACCGAGCTTGTGCATGCCGCCGGAGCGCATGGAGTTGAAGTGACCTGGCAACTGTTAGTTTCTACTCAAGCAGACGAAAGGGCTCAATAGCTGCCCGGATCGAGAGGATTGTACTGACCGTCGTCGTCGTAGTAACCCATCTTGGACTTGTTGTCTGGCTTGGAAGCTTGGACGGTTTCTTCGGTAAATCTCACGTCCTTCTTGTGAGATGGACGAGAAACGGGAGTGCCAACGGTGAAGTTGTTGACTTGGGTTGTCTTGGTGTCTCGGTACTGAGGCTGGGAAGAGCGGGCGTCAACAGTGAAGTTGTTGATCTCAGTCTTCTCAGAGGTGTTGTACTGAGGTCGCGAAGATCGTCCGTCAACGGTGAAGTTGTTGAACGCGGTCTTCTCGGTGTGTTGGTACTGAGGGCGAGAGGAACGTTCGTCAACAGTGAAGTTGTTGAACTCGGTCTTCTCAGATGAATGGAATTGGGGAGCGGGTCGGCCTTCAACGGTGTAGTTGTTGGCTTGGAAGTTGTCTTGAGGTTGGTAGTGAGAGTGAGAGTGGGAGTGGGAAGGAGGGTCTTCTGTGGAAAAAGCTTGGGCAGGGCGGTAACGCTGGCGGTATTCACGTTCAGCGAGGTCGATGGGGGTGGAGTAGTAGGGATGACGGTGGGTGTCGATCTCTACGTGAGTGTGAGAAGTTTGATATTGGGAAGGAGGTTGGTACTGGGAAGGTTGGTATTGAGAGGGAGGTTGAGGTCTAGATTTGTCTGGGTTAGCTGATGGATGTCTATAGTAATTCGCTTGCGTATCATATGGCAACGGGAGGCGGGCGGCCCCTGAGATAGCTCCACCGCCTTGCTCAGGCCAGCAGGCTTAGAGGCGCTAGTGAGCCGGGGAGAAAGCAAAAGCAAATTGGGTATCCAGCCAAGCTGAGGTGGGTTGGCAAGGTAGTGCGCAGGGGGTGGGGTGTGGTGAGAAGGTGTGGGGAGAGTTGAGAGAGGAAATGAGATGTGATGTGATAAACGGGATGGCTGGGGACTGAAGCGCCCCGTGCATTGTGTGTAATGGCGAGCCAGACCAAGAAGAGTGAAAGTGATAACCGAGGGCTGGGGGAAGAAGCTCAGGGGCAACGGCAATTGTTTTCGCCTAGCGATGCTTTGATTGCGGTCTTGTTTTCAAATCTCCAAGTGAGATCAACGCAAAGACATACGGACAGACAGACAGACAGACAGACAGACATGGACGTTGAAAGCCAGACTCTCTCAGACTCTCTCAGACCATGACTGAATTGAATGACTGTACCGTGCCCCCGTGAAATTGACCAAAAAAGTAAAGAAACCGGGCTATTGAAAGGGTTGTAAAATGAAATGTAAAATCGGACATACCGTCGGGCGTCTTCACGGATAGTAAAGTGGTCTTCTTCGTGCTCGAATTTTTGGACACCGGGACGGTGGTAATGTTCTTCTTCACGCGTAATACGGACCTCTTCTTCGCTAAACTGTTGCTCTGGGCGAGAAGGAGGAGCCTGTTCGGCGGTGACAGAGACAGAAGAGTATTGACCTTCCCGTCCGGCTTCGGGCTGTTGGGGCTTGATCTCAACCTCTTCGTGGGTTTTGGTCTCGGTAACGGTCTGTGTATGGGACTCGGATTCCCGATATGTCGATGGGAAGATGCTGAAAGGGACGGGGACGCGTGCCTCAAAGTCCAGATTTGCGACTTTTGCTGGCGCGAGAGAAGCTTCTCATACAACCTTCCGAAATTCGAAAGGAAGACAAGAAGTTCTCTGGCTCTTGTTCCTACGAAACAAAAGTCGAAGAGAATGGAAAAGAATCGGAGATGGCGAGCGAAGGCCTTCAGTCGTTCTTTTCTTCTTGTCTGGGTGAGGTTGTGAATTGACGATGTCGATGTGGATGGCGATAATTGGAGGGAGTAGGAGGAGAAGAGGGACCGGACAGGACACAGAACGAAACTGGGCTTTTGAAGACGGGGGCAGGATTGGACGAGTTGTTCCTCTGTGAGCAGTTACTGTACTTGTGTGTGTGTGTGTGTGTGTTGCTCCCTCGGCAGCGCAATGTTCTGTTGATCCGTTGTGTCCTGTCCTGGCCTCTCTTGTCCCAGCCCAGCCCTTTTTCACGCATCCTGCCTTATTGCCATATCCCACCCCCTTGGGTGTGTCGATTGTTCTTTGTTGTTGCTGCTGACGGCTTGTTTACCACTTCTCTTGTTTACATGCCAGGGGGCTCAGCATGTAGCTCTATTTACCTCTTACCAAATCAAGAGTAGATCCGCAGTCTGAGTCCCCGTACGTGGAAGGCCCCACCAACCACTTCGTGATTACAGCCCCATCTTGGCCTGAACGGACCATGCTAACCCTTCCTCCTGCGTCTCAGCCAGAGACAATCAGCCAGCCTCCCAAAAGCTCTTGGAGCTCTTTTCCTCTTATTACCTAGCTGTCTTGTAGCTTTAGCCAGTAACCAGCCAGGAAGCTACCCAGCTCCGCGCTATCCTGTTCCACGCAATTCTTCCCACCTCCAGATTCATCTTGAAAGATGTGACACGGCCCATGCTTTGAGCATGGCTCTCAAACAATAACCTGCAAAACGTTAATAGAAAGTGGAACACAACCCCATATCCGTACGCAAGTAAGTGATGAAGCTTCGATCTCGTCACCGCTCCGCGTTTGTCGGACCTTGTCGACTGAGTTGAGCGCCATCTGGCCTGTTCGGTACTGTAGCATGGCAGCATGGATTCGACTGCGATCATCTCTCAGATTCTCCTTCACCTCATTGACCAATTTGACCCGTATTGGCCTGTTCCTGGACATCTTAGCGACCTTGAGAGCTCGCGTCATTGGGCGAGCCTACCAATTTAGATATGATCCGGATCCTAACCAGTAACGCCACCGTTCAAACCATGTCAATCAGGGGGTGGAACCTGGCTGCCGCTGTGGGCGACACCGCACAGTATCCCCAACCACTTATTTCATCGTCGGTACTCCTCGCGAGATCTAAGGATCTCAGTTCCAAGTCTATCAGTAATCAATTGACTGAAATAAAACTCTGTGTGATCGACTTGTCTATACCGTCCTCTGACAGTCGAGAACCACCTAGCTGAAGAAAAAGCATGGCTGACCAGCACGAAACCAGAATCCATTCTCGAGCGACAGCACAGTTTGAGGAGACCACATGGCGGGCTCGTGCAGGCAGTATCTTTCCTCCTATTGGTGGCCATGTGAAATCCCAACCTCTTCAATTCCATCAACTCCCGAATAGTTCCAACGCCGGTGCGCCAACAAACCTCGTTCAGCTGCAGTTCCAGCGGCTGATCAGGCATGATTCAACTCGTAATCAATATTGAACGGGTACGGGGAAAATCGTGGAAGCTGACCATTGGACGATGCTGCACCTTTTATGCGAGTGTATTATTTAGTGCAAGCCGGTGATATGATACATTCCTGCCTACTAACAGCAGGTACTGTTGACTTGAAAACGAGTTGTCACTGAACGCCCTCAGTCAGCGCCTGGGGTACTCTGCCTTGTCTGCCTCATCTTGGCCTCAAGAATCGGCGGAACTAATACCAAAAGCCGCGAGCATTAGCATTGGGTGGCCTCGGTCAGCTGCAACAGCCCAAAGTCTGATTCGCACCAACCTTGGACAGTCGTCAGCGATCACCAACCTCCCGTATTTATCAATTGTGTTTGAACCTCCAACGCAGCTTCGTCATCACCACCGTTAGCTGCAGCAAGGCTTGTCCCCGGTCGTAGGCTTCTTCTCCGAACCAATTGAACAGATTTTCTTGTCTGGCACTCATTTTAACATCTCGTACAACGTCCTTTGCATGCTGGGCATGTAACATGGAACATGCCTGATAGCAAATTCTCCTTATCAATAACACAGCAACCGGTGGGAGCCATTAATTTGCCAAGCTAGACCAAGTCTAGGCTTCTAGTTGCTCTGCCGACCCAAAAAGCATTTGGGCCAATTTGCTGACGACGGATTCTTTTTTGAGATAATTTGCAACATCGGGTCACATAATCTCAGACCACCACTAGCTTCTGACATTGGATCCGTGCCTCGGTCCCCAAGAGTACCGTGCGAAATGCGCTTTGGTTTTTCGTGTGCTGTACGGATATTGATTGAAAGAATTGATCAGAGTTCCTCGGCTCAATAGGTGTCATGTGCTGGTTAAGTTGGCAGCTTTGCGTACTCATTGGGAGCTGTCGGCAGTGAAGGCCTGAACCGTGCTGGTGTCATTATCTGAGACAAACCTGGGGTATCTCTGCGCATAATGCCTGCATACATCGTGATATACAGTATGTTCGTGTTATTCATCAACACCACGCAAGCAATGATGCGATGCGTGCACCTTCTGCCGTACTAATGCAAGTCTGATGCGCATTGAGGTAGCAAAGGCGCTTCAGATGGTGTTGCGACGAGGGTCTGCCATCATGGAACCCACTGAGTCCGTGTTTCTGGGGGTTTGGGCTCAACGAGCCTACCCTTTAGCGACATCTAGACGAGCATGCCAGTGGTTTTCTCAGATTTGTTCGGCTATGAGAAATCCCCCACAACTGCATCCATCCCTTGGCAATGTGAGGTCGGATGCGGATACACGAAAGCTGGTTGTCAAAATCTGTGGATATTATCCATTACACCTTTCCCTCTCCTTCCACCTACCAAGCTACTGTACATACAAGCTCAGGGTCACGTGGCGGCCTGGATGATGTCAGCATACCCCTCCATCTTACCCCACGTTGGGATTTGCCTTGTATCGCGATGATGTAGTGTAAAGCCTGAGTTTTCTCAACTTTGTGTGCCTTGGCCTGGGAACTGCAGTTCAAGATGAAGCAAAGATTCTCTTCATTGGATGTGAAAGTGAGTGCTATGTAAAAGATATATACAGTACAGTCCGTTCTAACTGTCGAATAAGATTATCGCACATGAGCTCCAGGAACGCCTGGTGACTCTTAGACTCTCCAACGTATACGACCTTTCCTCCAAAATCCTCCTTCTCAAGTTTGCGAAACCCGACAACAAGAAGCAGCTTGTTATTGATACTGGATTTCGTTGTCACTTGACAAAGTTCGCACGTACAACCGCCGCGGCCCCATCCATATTTGTTGCGCGGCTTCGGAAATTTCTCAAGACCAGACGGTTGACGGCAGTTAGACAAGTGGGCACTGATCGAGTCCTGGAATTTGAATTTAGTGATGGCCAATACCACATGTTCTTAGAGTTTTTTGCTGTATGTCCTCTACCTTTGGGTCTCGAACAAGACTTGCTGACACTTACTTCTAGAGCGGTAACATCATTCTCACCGATGCCGATCTGAACATCCTTGCCCTGGCAAGAACCGTGCCCGAAGGTGAAGGACAGGAGCCTCAGCGAGTCGGACTGCAATATTCTCTTGAAAATAGGCAGAACTATGGCGGAATACCCCCCTTGACCAAAGAGAGAGTACAAAATGCCCTCAAGACTGCCGTGGCCAAGGCGGCTGCCGATGCAACGTCTTCGAAGAAGCAAAAGGGCAAACCTGGTGGTGATCTGAGGAAGAGTTTGGCTGTTTCTATCACAGAGCTGCCCCCCGTGCTTGTAGATCACTGGTTACAGACGAACAACTTCGATACAACTGTTAAGCCACATGAAGTTTTGGCGAACGAGACCTTGCTGGACGAGTTGGTCAAGTCACTCCAGGAAGCCCGGAAAATCGTGGAAGAGCTCACAAGCTCAGAAACATGCACCGGCTATATATTCGCTAAACGCCGAGAGAGACCTGAAGGAACCGAAGCCAACGACGACGAGATAAAAACAAGGCGTGACAACCTACTCTACGACGACTTCCATCCATTTATTCCTTACAAGCTGCAGAAGGACCCCGCGATCGAAGTTCTTGAATTTCAGGGCTACAACGAAACCGTCGATGAGTTTTTCTCGTCTTTGGAAGGTCAACGACTGGAGTCCAAGCTGAGTGAACGTGAGGCAACAGCAAAGCGAAAGCTGGAGGCCGCAAAGAACGAACAGAATAAACGGATTGAGGGGCTCCAAGAAGCACAAACCCTCAACTTCCGCAAAGCTGCCGCTATCGAAGCGAACGTGGAACGTGTCCAGGAAGCCATGGACGCCGTCAACGGGTTACTCAATCAAGGAATGGACTGGGTAGATGTTGGGAAATTGGTTGAACGTGAGAAGAAACGGCACAATCCTGTTGCCGAGATTATTAAGTTGCCTCTGAACCTTGCCGAGAACCTTATCACGCTCGAGTTGGCCGAGGAAGAGTTCGAACCAGAAGAAGACGACCCTTACGAGACGGACGATGACGATAGCGCACTGGGCGAGGATGAGAACACATCGCCTGCAGCCAAAGGGAAGCAGACCGACAAGGCGCTTAGTGTGGAGATCAACCTGGGCTTGAGCCCTTGGAGCAACGCTCGAGAGTATTTCGACCAAAGGAAGACTGCAGCTGTCAAGGAGGAGAAGACTCAACAACAGGCCTCCAGGGCCTTGAAAAATGCGGAACAAAAGATCACCGAGGATCTCAAAAAGGGGTTGAAACAAGAGAAGGCTCTGCTCCAGCCCATTCGTAAGCAGATGTGGTTCGAGAAGTTCATCTGGTTCATTTCATCCGACGGCTATCTTGTAATCGGAGGCAAAGATGCCCAGCAGAACGAGACCATCTACAAGAAGTACCTTCGTAAAGGCGATATTTACTGCCATGCCGATCTGCATGGGGCATCCAGTGTCATTATCAAGAACGACCCCAAGACGCCAGATGCACCTATCCCCCCGTCAACACTTTCCCAGGCAGGATCACTTGCCGTATGCTCGTCAAACGCCTGGGATTCCAAAGCTGGCATGTCTGCGTGGTGGGTTAACGCTGACCAAGTCTCCAAATCTGCTCCGACAGGAGAGTTTTTGCCAGCGGGAAGCTTCATGATTCGTGGGAAGAAGAACTTCCTTCCTCCAGCCCAGCTTCTTCTTGGGCTGGGTATTGCTTTCAGAATCAGCGAAGAGAGTAAAGCCAAGCACGTCAAGCATCGCTTACATGGTGTAGACTCCGTAGCAGGTGACGAACCCTCACGGGCTCCTCAATCAGCAAATATGATAGGCGGCGCCGATGAACCCGATGCAGAACACTCTGATGTTCCCTCTGACTACGAATCCGAAGATGAGAAACATGACGAAGAGCCTCGTGACAACCCTCTTCAGGCGTTCGGAAACGGCGAAGGTCGTAATGAGGACGTCGAAGAGGCCGAAGAAGGCGTTTCTGAGTTGAAGATTTCGGATAAAGCAGCTGATGAGACCACTGACCAAGGTCTGGCCAAGGGTGACGACAGAGAGGGAGATGATGAAGAGGATGAAGGAAATGAAGACGAAGAAGCCGCTGAATCTAGAGATTCTGCTGGATCAGAAAAGGAAACCGACAAGCTTGCGGGAGCAAACACGAAGAACGATACAGTAAACTCGTCCAAGAAGCATCCTCCCAAGCGAGGGCAACGGGGCAAAGCGAAGAAGATTGCCGCAAAGTACAAGCATCAAGATGATGAGGACAGAGCTGCTGCTGAAGCCTTGATTGGAGCAACAGTTGGACAAAAGAAAGCCGAAGCCGAAGCGAAAGCGAAAGCTGATCGCGAGGCTGAGCTCGCTGCAGCCAAAGAGCGACGTCGTGCACAGCACCAACGACAACAAAAGGAAACGGCCGAACACGAAGAGATCCGACGTGTCATGATGGAGGAAGGCGTTGAAATGCTGGACGAAGACGAGGCCAGTCAGATGACAGCGCTCGATGCCATTGTTGGTACTCCTCTTCCAGGTGACGAGATTCTCGAGGTCATTCCTGTTTGTGCCCCATGGAATGCTTTGGGACGTTACAAGTATAAGGCCAAGCTGCAGCCTGGAGCGACAAAGAAGGGCAAGGCAGTTAAAGAGGTCCTCGAGCGTTGGAAGGCGGCTTCTACTAAGAAGGGAGTGGTGGATGAGAATGCTCGGGACAAGGATCGAATGTGGCCACGAGAAGTGGAGCTGATCAAGGCGCTTAAGCCTGAGGAGACCTTCAACGTTGTGCCTGTTGGTAAGGTGAGGGTCATGATGGCTGGCGGAAGCAGTGGGAGCGGCGGCGGCGGCAAGAAAGGTGCTGGCGGCAAGGGTAAAAGGGGAGGCAGAGGGTCTAAGAAATAATAAACAATGGATTTCCCGAACCCATTTATTTATATAGCAAAAGCAATAGAAAAGATAAAATCATATTGATGTATCTACTAAACTGCTAGATCCATGACAAACATCCAAGGCACTTTCCATGCACCATAACTCTTTGACAATACCCAATGATACATAATCCATCTCTTCATAAATCGTAAAGTCGCTTATCGCGTGCCATAGCTAACCTTGTCGAATTTTCTTACATCATCCGGCATACGTGCAATGCATAATTCACCGCAGAACTCGCCCCATTCGCCGCTTGTTGCATCACGAACAGCATCTCTCATGCCTCTACCGTAGCGTTCGCGGTAAGCTTGTTTGACGGCTCGCATGTGGTGCGGATCCCAATGGTATCGAACGAGACGTGAAATGAGTAGCTCGCGACGAAGTCCATCTTTACGAGATGCCGAGGTAGCATGGTGAATGAGGAGGGCGTCACGAACGGGACGGTTGATCACACCGTTCAGGATGTGAGCCAAAAGTTCACCCTAGCGGGCATTAGCTATGGAGCAGGATCATAGATGGACTGGACTTACAACAAGGTTTCCGCTCTTCTTGAGGGCGTCGCGTGCAAAGTTAGCACGGTACTGACGCTCATACTCCTGCAAAATGGCGCGCAGATGAGAGTTACTCCGCAGTACGATGATGTTGATCATGGCCGTCTCGCCACCCCTTTCTGATTTTATAGATCGACGAAGATCAGCGACATCATGGTCAACCAGAGCGTAGTCGATGGGCAGCAGACGGCCATAGTGGTCGTATTCCTCCATGCGACGTTCCTCAAGGACCAGAAGGACAGCTTTCTTAAACTTGTCCTCTTTGAGTTCTTCCTTCATGCACTTTGTGAGGCTGTTATCGTACTTTTTGTCTGTGAACGAATCCTTGATACAACGTATCTCGGCGTTTGTGCGGCCCATGAGAGATTCGATTAGAAGTTCTCGGCGAGTCTTATCGCCTTGGTACCAGAAATTGGCCCAGTATGCTTCGCTCTCCCACATGCCCAGGGCAACAGAGTAGCAAGCCTTCATCAACAAAGGGTCCTCGTCTTTGAGGCGAGCGCGGATATGCTTGGCGACGTTGACGCCCTTACGTTCGGAGCCTGTTTTAACGAGCGCCTTGTAGTCAGCACGTAGCTTCATAACTTGTTCGTGTGTCAAGCTCGGTAGAATCTCAATAAGAGGCTCAGTGTCAGGCTTGCGACTGCCCTTCAGGGCTTGAGCTAGTTGAGTTGTGATATCCTCAGGATCATGGAAACGTGCACGTCGGCTGCGACGTCTGCTATCGTCCTCATTATCAGACCCAAGTGGTGAAAGTGCCTCAAGAGCTCTGTTATCGTCGCTCGACCTGGCAGCGAGCAGCAGAGGAGATGGCATTGGAGAGCAATCCTGGTAAGTACCATAGTAAGATTCTAGCATTGGGGATGCTGGAGCATTTGCTAGCGATGCACCAGCCAAACCACCGGCGGCGAGTCCGCCTACAGTCAGCCCAGTGTTGATGCTGAGACCTGACATCCTCTCGGTCGGCGGCTGGGGGGATTTGTCTTTTCGACTGCGGTGTCCGTCTCTGGATCGTGACCTATGTCGGTGATGTTTGTCCACAGTTAAAGTATCGCCCGACTTTTCTCTCCTATGAGATCGAGATCTTTCTCGAGACTTTTCGCGCCGACGAGATCTGTCTCGCGATTTCTCACGTCTTCGGTCTCCAGAGTCAACAGCGAGACGATCTGAACTGCCGCGGGGATCGGAAGATCTATCTCTGCGATGTTCACGATGTTTGTCGTCTTCACGGTTTCTAGGCTCAACAGTCAAGATATTGGCGTTTGAACCGTAATTGTCATTGTAGCGGAGATCGTCCTTGGATTTGCGCGAACCATACTGATCAATAGATGGACTTGCAGGATCGCGATGAGAGTACCCGTATGAGGGTGGCTGCTGAGAATAATAGTCGTCATCGGAAGCTGGAGGGGGGTTGTACGTGGTCATGACCTGGGTGGCTATTGAAGGAACTCCAACAGCCTTACCGTAAGCCATGTCATCTGTCTCGTTTTTAGGTCGCGGAGGAAGTCCTGGCTGTCCATAGGCCAGGTCATCGTCTAGCCTTTCTTTACGGCTTCGGTTGTCTTTCTCTTTTTCACCAGGAGATCCGGTGAGCTTGCGCATGTACTTTTGGGGCAGAAAACTGAATTTGTCCTGCTCGTCCTTGGCGCCGGGTTCTGTACTATAAGCGAATGGATCTCTGTATTTTTCGCGACGGCTGTCATTTGGGAATGCTCCTGGGAGATCGCCGTCAACCCTGTCGTGCGAGGACCTGTAAGGCGAGTCCTTGGTTGGAGAGGCGGTTTGGTAATTGGTCGGGTAAGCATCGTAGCTGTATTGTGCTTGGTTTCCGGGAAGCATAGAATAGATGCCACCCTCTTCAGGATAGGGAAGAGCGCCGCTCGCTTGTGGTGCTCCCGGTCTTGTGCGGTCATTCAAGTCATCTTCTGGGTATATATAGCTCGGTTCGCGGTAGTCGCTGTAAGATGGGCGCTCAGGTGCAACATCGCTCTTGGACCTGCGATCGCGGGAGCGCGACCTGGAGCGATCCTTTCTGGACCTATCATCAGGTCGAAGGGAAGACATTGTCGCTTGTTTTGCTCAGGTTTTCTTTTTCTTGTGCTGAAAAAGACTGAAGCTGAAGCTGCAGTCGAAGGAGGGGTAGGTATTTGTGTGGAGCTCGCGGGGTTGTTGCTTCGGTTGTCGATGAAATAAAATAAAATGGAATGAAATGAAATAAGATCGGACGAGGGAAGAGATTGACAAGGCTAGTCTAGTTATAAGGGAGAAGAATAGAAGCTCGAGGGATCATGCCGGATCAAGCAATAAATCGTAGGCTTCCCGTCCATTTAAATTCGAGATGATACGCCGCCTGATGCGGTGCGATGCGTCAACGGCGGGTGGACCGAAGTGCTTTGCTAGGGTATTTGATTCACCTGGATGGTATTAGTGGTCGATGCCCTACCGTGGAGAGGGAGAATAGAGGGGACTGGAACCTGACTTGCAGAGAACCAAGCTCTTGGAGCATGGTAGTTGGGTCGTCATAGGGTCCATGCAAAGACGGCACACCAGTCAAACAGCTCATGAGGGTCTCAATTCGCTTCTATCGGGTGACCCCGAGCGCTAAGAAAGCTCACCGGGCCGCATGACTGGGGTTTAGTGTGGCTGTTCCAGGAGGCTGAGGCTGAGAACAAGGGATTGTCATTTGCGGGGCCGCACTGGGCTGTGCTGATTTAGTACCTTTACCTACCCTACTAACTCTGTACTATATCAAGTCATATCATGAGATTCAATCAACGGCCAATCTACAATACGAAAACCGTTATGACGTTATGAAGCGGGCGTGTCAACTCCCGCGCCGGATAACTTTGCTTAACATTAGGCTCACAACGCATGTGAACCGTTAGGTACCCAGGCCTACCTACTACTAAGGCACGTTGAATCAAAATTCAAGACTCGTTAGGTATGACAGGTACCTATAGTGCCTAGTAGAACTACCGAGACGTTATAAACCTGAGCTTAAGGAATGCGTATGGATATTGCCAGCTGGATCCTCTTGTTATCATATTAATTCTACCGTCTCTTGAAACGCAATCGGCTGTTGAGTGACTCGCCGAATTCTGAAGCATAGAACAAGCATGTGCTCAGCTGCCGATATCATGGTACAATAATTGTTGCAAATCATGCCATGAGAATATCTCCTTCATCATTACGAAAGGACGAAACCGAGCATTTCTATGTCTAACCAACAAGACCCTGGGGCATGGGAAACCGAGCCCTGAGCCTTAGGGCATAAGTAAGAAACCCAAGGGGTTTCAAGATGACTAGATCTTGACTTATCTACCAAACTTTTGTACCATGTCCTTCACCGTCAAGGTCAATGCCTCACTACTTGTATCATTATTGTTCGATACCTATATGTAGGAAGTCTATGGGCAATCTTGGGTCTGCCTTGTGAGGTGAATACCCTAGGACTATTGTAAATAGTCCTCTCTTCTGTAGCTAGCTTATATAAACCAAGCTCTTCCTTTCCTTTCTATTCGATGTCTATTACGGGCTTAACAAACTGAAGACAATGCAACAAAACAGGGAGATAGAGAAATTGGCGCGGTGAACACGAATCCACCAGAGATTACGTTGTGTAGGTCAATGGATTCGAGCTTTCTCTTTGCTTTGGATTCTATTGCTGTGGCACTCTTTCGCCTCGTTGAAACACATAAAGCGCTTCATCCTTTCCAGGAAACGAAGGTAACGCAACCTTGGCAACCAAGATCCAATCCTTGTGCTCCTTCTGCATAAACTCGTCCATAGTCACTCCCTTGAATCCTGTGTAACCATTTCTGTTCTGCGTACCCACAACCGCGATAGTGTCGCCCTCGAAGGCAGCTACGAGGTTTCTCGTAAAGCCCCCCTCGGTGCCACCACCCACGCCACCACCAACGACGGGATACACGAGCAAGAGAACCATGTCTTTCGCACTGGCGTTCTTGCGCAACCACTTGACGCCGTCGGAAATGACTGTATCGTTGACCCAGTTGACACGCCATTCGCTCTGCATATTATCCACAGCGTGTACCGTTAGGCCGTAACGACGCAGCATAAATGTCCAGTATCCATTGCCCGACCCTATGTCTGCAATCGAGCGCCCATCTGCTAGAATCTTGAGAATAGAGAGGCTTTCATGAGTTGGTGTCGCGCATCCAAAGTGATGCATAAAGATGGGCAGTACGTGGTGGCTTGTCACAACACGTTCTGATGCTGGGCAAGGACCACACCACTCAAGAGAGTGACATGACCACATCCAGAAGTCGAGATAGGGGTTCGTGCTGGGTGGTTTCTTGCACTTGGGAATGGTGAGTTTCGCGGCGAGTCCAGGATGAAGATATCGCTTGCTTTCCAGATTGGTGGCTACTTCACTCCTTGTCGAGCCCTTTTTAGCATTGGTCCCCAGGTTTTTCAGAACGGCGGCAGTTGCTGTTGATGGTCGGAATATATAAGTATATGCTTCGACGTCAGTTTGAGGAGCCGGTTCTCTCTGTCAAAGTCAGTCTTTCTGATATTAAACACTAGTGGTTCTGAGGGGCAATGTCCTACTGGAGAGCCATCCTCGTCACGATACCAGGCATGTAAACCATTGGCACCTCCGAGATTCACAACAGATTGCACTTGGGCAAGTTTTACACTTGTTATGGCATGGTATATGTAGGGATCCGGGTGAGGAAGTTGAAACAGTACTCGACTGGCGTTGTACAGGTCATTCTTCAGCAGGTGATCGACAGCTTCCTTCTGGCCATCAATATTTTCAATGGCTTCATCAGGCTTGAATGTTGGGCTTCCAACACAATAGACGAACTTGGATTGAGACATTTGAGAAATGCCACCCGACTGCCTCGGTGATGAGTTAGGTTAGTGATTTACAGAAACTCTCGATGACGTTTTGTTGTTGGAGAATATGCACCTCACCTCTGCTAAGTTCATCTCTTGAAAAAGTGGATGCTTTTCTTTTTTTCAGCTTAGGTCCACCCTGCCTGCTAGCCTAAGTGTACAGTTGCTATTGAGCAAACATCAGCGAAACAAAACAATCAGAGCAGCCCTAACAAGTGTTGGTTGGCTCAATGTCAGTATCTAACCTGGCCATTCTGTGTTTTCATTTTGGCATTATAGCCCGGCCATGTCGGCAAAGAATACCATCTGGATGGAGACGGTGCTCCGCTATTATAAAAGTGACAACTCGTTTGATACATCATTATGAGGAGCCTACTCCGTACACCTACCTGGTCATTTATCACAAGCTCAATGTCTCAGAGGGGCGCGGTTATGTTGAATTAGAGGTTGGTTTACGAAACAACCCACCAACAGTAAACAGCAAGATGCATATATGCAGTACACACAACCACAACGCGGTTAGTTTAGGTAAGGTGTCCGTACAGGTACTGTATTGCATGTGCCTTTCTTTTGCAGGATGTAGGCTACCTTAGTCGTCAGGCTAACCCAGTACTGTACCAGCCCAGTTTCTTTGTTCCGTCCCTCTCCTTGATGTGATGGACGTCCTGATGTTTCCTTTGACTAGGTAGCTGTTGGTGGACGGACCTACACTCGCAACAGCAGACGGGGACATAGGCTGCTGCCAATGCCCGATCAATTAAAAGGCAATAACGCCTCAGCTTGGCTAGAACCAACATCTGTCAATGGGTAAGGGATTTATAATCGGCGTGGCGGCAATCTGCCACTTTCTTGGCACGATCTATACCACAACCAACTTCTGTTTCGTTCCTTCCCGTCTGTAAAGGGCCCCACCAGCGCCTACTTTGGTACTCAAAGCAGATGCGGGTAGGAACGAACGGTGCTCCATTCATTGGAAGTCTACCTCCCTTCCTAGGAGGTAGGGAGGGAGCTATTGTAATCTGAGGCGCCTCTTTTCTTGCAGACATCCATCCATTCCATGGAACTCTCCTCCTGCAACTGCAGAAGCTGTTTCATCTAAACCCATATCCCCGGATCTGTCTTCACGCGTGTTATTGATGTGGCTTTGACGCCAAAGACCACCACCCAACTACAGCTTTTCTAATCCTAGACGACCCCTTGCATTCAGATCGTCCTCAACGATCTACCCAAGTCGACAACATCGTCATCGGACCACGCCCGCTGCTTCAATTCCGTGTTCTCATTTGCGACCCTCTTGCGAAAACTTAAGCAGGCTCATGACGAAACTCTAGGTTGCACAGATCTGGCCGTTGTTCCTTTTTATATTCAAAGTGCCAATTTGCCTTTGCGCCAAGTCTATTAAACAACTACTGCATTTTGGTTATATCCGTCTTCCTCCCGGCACTTACATATACATCTACTTATATATTACCCAACTACGATGGACCACGAGCCGCGCAGTAAGAGGCAGCGCGAAGACGCCACTGATAATGATGAATTATACGCCCAAGACCAACCTGGTTCTGCCGGTGCGAAGTCAAACGGCCGCCAGATATCCGCAGCCCGAGGAAGCATTTTGGACGATGATCGTGACAACAGCGCGGGCTCCCCCACACAATTACGCAAACCTTACGATGCCCATAAGGAAAGCCCTAGGGGGGATCGTGTAGAAGGCTCTCCAGCTTCGGACATCTCTGAGCAACGTCGACGCAATGATCTGGGAGTCACGTCGCCACTCACTCACCCGAATGGCATCTCTATGTTCCCAGACATGTCGGTCACCGAGCAGGAGGCCATGTCTCGACAAGCTCTCGCCCAGGCCGAGGAAAACATCGTTGCCGACAGCGACGAGTACAATTCTGCAGACGATGCCGGGTACGGGAGTGACAACATGAGCTCTGCAAGCACCTCTATCGGCTCATCTGTTCGGGATTATATGTTCGAGAATGGCCGTCGTTACCATAGTTTCCGAGCTGGAGCTTACAATTTCCCCAACGACGACGTGGAACAGGAGAGAGAGGACATGAAGCATGCCATGGTGAGGCTGCTTTCTGGTCAAAAACTTCACTTTGCGCCTCTGGGCGACAACCCGCAAAATATTCTTGACATTGGAACTGGCACAGGAATCTGGGCAATCGAGAGTAAGGCCACGTTGCTTCGTATATGTATGCTCGGCAGCTAACACTGAGATAGTGGGCGAGCAATATCCGAGTGCGAATGTTCTCGGTATCGATCTCTCACCCATTCAACCTACTTGGTTGCCACCCAATGTTCATTTTATGGTCGACGACGTTGAGTCCTCATGGCTTCATCCCCAAAACCACTTTGACTATATTCATTCTCGACACACAGTTCAAGCGATCAAAGATTGGCCTCGACTCTTTGAGAGCGCCCTCCAGTGAGTATAAACTTCCTACAGCTTTCTTAGCTGCGGCGTACTCACACAACATAAGGCACATGAAGCCCGGTGGCTGGATGGAACTCCAAGAAATTCATCATTATCCCCACAATGCGAGGACAGGCGAAGCTATTCACCCCTACGACCACCCAATCGCACAATACTGGACCTATATCAACGAAGGACTCGCAACTCTCGGAGTTGACTTTCCTGCTGCGGCGGGAGGTAAATTGGCTACTAAGATGCACGCAGCCGGTTTCATAAATGTTACTGAGCGAATATTCCATGTCCCTCTCGGAACGTGGCCCAAGAACCAAGTTCTCAAGACTGTTGGATTGTATTGGCGTACCATTTTGAATGATGGCGTTCAGGCTATTGCTCTCGGTCCAATGTCAAGGGGGATGGGATGGAGCCGCGAGCAGATTGAAGTGTTTCTTGTCAGTGTGCGAAGGGCATACTGCGACAACACGGCGCTCCTGTACATGCCTATGCACATCGTTTATGGGCAAAAGCCACATTAAGAAGCTCGTACGAGAACAAAAATGGAGAGAATGGAAGAAGGATTCGCGACCGATTCACTGACAGCTTCGAGGCTGTTCTGCAACCAAGGGCGTACCGACCCGAAGGCACCATTATGACGTGGAGCCGCTAAAGGAATCAAGTGGAATCAATGGTGGGCAGTTCTTGTCTAGACTACCCGATACGAGCCGGCTGGCTCGGTGCAAGTCTGATCCGCCGGAAATAAGTGCCAGGAACACTAGCTTTGCCTTTAAGAATGCGGTATCGAGGACCGCCCACTGCCTTCATAGGCATATCTATGAATCGGTACTATGACCCACGAGTTGATTAGACAGCCAAAACATTGCAGCATTTTTCATATCTATAAGAGTACGGATACCATGGTTCCTCTTATTGCTAGGCTCCATCTCAATTACTTAGACCCTGGCACAACCCAAAGATCTTCAGCTGATGGTTGCATATCCTTTACCCACAATAATTTTGCGTACCACAAATGTCACATCGTACGAAAGAGACCACACGCCCACAGAATGGGAACAAAGTCTAATATGACGAGAATTGGTGGATGGCTTCTCATCCCTGATCTTCTCGACGAGAATTCTCAATACACGGATTTAATTATGCAGCCAAGGAGGCCAAGCTTCATTAGGTGGCTTCGTGCCACCCGCACCATTACATCCATGCTAGCTTCGGAACTAACCTGCGGGAAGAGGGAGCAGAGGAACGGCTGGGCTTGAGACCTAACCTAGACGGTGTTGTTATCGCAGCAGACAATCCCAGTCATGTACTTCATGTACTGATCCCAGGTCATTTCTCGATTTTGTTTCTGGGATCAAGGCCATAGCTCGCAGTTATACGCCAATCATGAAGGCTCTTGCATCGAGATAGACTTAGGCTCAACACACCTTGCCACCCTTTCCAATGGCGCTATCAGGAGCGGTGCAGGCAGGTGAAATAGTCCATGCCGTCCATCTTCTGAGCAGCTCACGTACCCGCTATCCGCATTGGGTCTTACTGTTCATTTGAACTTTGGAATTACCATGGGGCCTTGATGGGAGTTCAGAATGTATAAAACCACGCAACCCCAAGGCCGTACTACGTATTGCAACGTTGACCGTCAAGCACGACCACGTCACGATTTCTGTCAACATGGGTGAAGAACTTACATCACCATACTCGCATGGCTCACCAAGCTTAGAGACATCTCTTATGGTTCAGTTGGCAAGAAAGATTACCGAAGAGACGGAAAAGCTTGACAACTATTTCAAGAGCAACGACCTTCCGGATTTGGGATTTGACGTCGATGCCCCTGATGATCTTCCCAAGCTGCCAGAAGACATACAGAAATGCCGTCTGGAAATTTCATCGGCAACAAAGCAGCTGGAACTCCTTGTGAGAGGACCCAGAGAGACTGTCAGATGGGGTATATGGAGCGTAAGTTTTCTCAATGAATTGTGTTTTCGCCCCTAACGTATGGAAGTATCTAGATACGCTAAGCCTCCAGATTCTCAATAATTTCAAGATATGTGAGCACACCCTCCCTGCCATCAACCTAGTTGCTGATACTTAAAGACGATCTTGTCCCGCTGGATGGAAGCATTTCACTGAGTGATCTTCAGAGTGCAACGACATTGGATCCTGTGAACTTGGCGCGTTCTCTCCGCCATGCTATGACAAACAAGATCTTTCAGGAACCCATGCCAGGTTTTATATCACACACTGCTGCCTCCAAAGTTCTGGCTGAGGACGCCAACCTCCAAGCTTGGGTGGGATTGAACGGGGAAGACTTCTTTCCTGCCGGAGCGCACACTCTGGAAGCTCTCCGCGCTGATCCAGCGGCTACCTCACTCACACGGACCGGCTTCAATCATGCTTGGGGAACAGTCGATAAGGAACCCATGTTTGCAACCTTCGCCAAGGATCCTCTGCGAGGAAAACGATTCGCTGTGGCTATGGCAAGCTTGACTGGTGGAGAGGGCTACGAAATTGGATATTTCATCGAAAACTATGACTTCTCCGAAGTGAACAACAACGAAGGGACATTCGTAGACGTTGGTGGCAGCCATGGGTTCGTGTGCGTTGATCTGGCTAGGAAATGGGACAAGATGAAATTCGTGGTGCAGGATTTACCAAAGACCATCAGCAGTGCTCCGAATCCCATATGCGAAGATGAAGGCGTGACACAGCGTATATCCCTTCAAGCTCACGACTTCTTCACACAACAACCCATCAAGGGCGCTGATAGTAAGATACAATCCAGTACGCAACATTGATATAAGATTTGAGCTGACAAACGACCAGTTTTCTACTTTAGATGGATATTTCATAATCTGGCCTCTCACTATGCTATAACGATTCTGAAGAACCTTATTCCAGCTCTTAAACCGGGTGCTCGCGTACTCATCAATGATCATTGTCTACGCGAACCTGGGGTTGAGAACAGCTGGGATGAGAAGCTCATGCGGAGCATGGATCTTTTAATGCTGACTCTTCTGAACTCCCAAGAGCGAACAGAAAAGGAGTTCGAGGAGCTTTTCAAGGCTGCTGATGAACGATTTGTCTTCAAGGTATGCCGTGTGTGTCTCGATTAGTATCATCCGTATTTGCTAACAGGTTTCACAAAAGGGCGTGAAGAGACCAGAAGGATGTAGAATGAGTATCATCGAGGCAGTTTGGCAACCTTGAGTTCAAGGTGTTGAAGAGCCAATTGAGCTCAGTATAAAGAGAATGATCTGGAATAGAATCTACCTTCTAAGGCCACCATGAACTTTTGACCAACGGTATCTGCTGGCTGCTGTCTGGGTAATAGAAGAAGTACCCTCTAAGCTAGGTAGCTTAGATAGTTTTTGGGCTAAAGTAACCAAAATGTTTTGACTTGGGTAATCTCTCGGTAGCCATTTGTTCAATGCCCTAGCAAAGCGTCAGATATCGCTTCGATTCTTTGACGCCTTTGAACTGCATTTTGGGAAGTGCGATAGCCTTGTGGTACCGATCCAGCGCTTTTTGCAAGGTTCCAGTTCTAATCTGATTTCATATATCGCTTTTCATCTCGGAGATTGCGAATGATAAGGCGAAAATGGCGATCGTGGTGGGAAGGTGCGTTTATTGCGGCGTTAGTAGACTCGAAACAAAGACACAGCATGGGCTATATAGATACTAATACGCAACCGTTCTGATATCAAGGCGTAATTGGTTTAGTGGTAAAATTCTCCGTTGCCATCGGGGAGCCCTGGGTTCGATTCCCAGATTACGCAGCTCAACTTTTACTTCTGCTCCGAGTGCAGGATTTCATCTCTTTTTTGCCATAGATTGAGAACCCGAGATGTGAAACTGTGCGCCCGTTGTTACCTACCCTTCTTTCCTTAATACACAAGGGGATTATGAAAGTTAACTGCTACGATTATAACAAACGAAACGATTTAGTTTATGGGAGTTTAGGTCCATCGTTAGGCTGATCATTTTATTTCTCTCGCCCTAAACTTGGGATGAGAATTCTTCCCGTAGACCGTCCATCCTTTCTCCATTCTTCTAAAGACCAGGATACATCATATCATAGAAGTCATTCACATCAGATGTGGTCATCCATTTCTGTCTATCAATCGTGATTGTTAATGTATCTCTACCGAAAAGAACCAAGACTTGCTTCGGTAATACTCAAACTACAACTTTGTCTGTTCGTTTCCCAAACCTCAGCTTGCACACACCAGACACCCCTTGCTCATCGTATATAAAACATCCTGATTCACTTTCAATCCCTTGACTCATGTTTACCAATGTTACAACGTCCCTCAGTTACCTTCCGCTCCGAAACCACCCTTGGAGGCGATCTCCATGGCCAGCTCAGCAACGGTCTTGTCGCTCAGGACCTCAAACACCGAGACTTCGACGCTGCAGTTTGTAACAACCCAGTTTCGGACTCCAACGGCGACCAAAGAATCAACACCGTAGACGTTGGGCGGCTTGCTAGTGTCAATCTCTTCTGGGAGCATGTTCATAGCCTTGGCTAGCATGTGCGTAAGGCCTGTAGTAATGATGTCGGCAGCTGCATCTATGCTATTGCAGCATGCAAGGAGTGATTTCAAGTCGAACTTGGCTGAACCATCAACGGCACTCAGATCGGGAGGTGCCATATCAACCAGGTTGAGGTAGCTATAAAGAGCAGTGCGAGACCAGTATGGATCAGCTGGCTGATTTTGTCGGATAAGACCACCGGAGCCAATGCCCATGACGATGCGGCTGGGCATATGAATCTCTGGTGTAATTTCCCCAGTGACGGCAAAAGAAACTACAGTAAGGAAGTCCTGATGTCGAATGCCGTAGAAGCCACTGGCTCGCAGCATGTCAAGAATCCCATCGTCCTCGGCAAGCATGCCGGCACTAAGGACAGGTCCGAGATCGATGGAAGTAGCATGCTTGCCCTGAAGGCGGTACTTTTGTGCAAGGGCATCTTCAAAACAATTGCCAGCAGCGTAGTTCGCCTGACCACGATTACCAATTACCCCAGCAGAGCTGGCAAGGAAGATGAACAAAGGGTCTTCCGAGTTGCTAGAGACCACCTGCACCAGGTTATCCGAACCGATAGTCTTTGGCTTGACTGCCTCCATCCAGTCAGAGTATGTCATGTTTGCAAATATCGAATCCCTGATGACTGCTGCACATTGAAACACACCTTTGATGGGGGGCATTTCTCGACAGATCTGCTCCTTGACGACTTTAGCAAGAGTGAACATATCGCAAATATCAACTTTGTAAACACGGGCATCGACACCTTTGACCTTGAGATCCTCAATAAAGGAGTAGGAAGACTCAGACGAAGCGCCAGATCGTGATAGGAAAGCAACATGTTGAGCGCCGTTTCGAACCAGTAAATCGCAGATACTGCGACCAAGGCCACCAAGGCCTCCAGCAAGAACGTAAGTGCCAGTATGAGATAGAGCCTGATGAAGTGTTCGAACAGGCTTCAAAGTTGTAATCTCAACCATGGGGTTCGTCTCAGGAGGAGCGGTAACAGATACAAGTCCACGCAGCGGGCTCTTATCAATGACCTTTAGAGCCTCGGTGACGTTGGGGAGCTCGATGTCTTTGATGAAGCGTTCCGCCACAATCAGTCTGTCTTTATGTTCTTCGCATTTGACCACTTCCTCGATTAGCTCCGCCACGTACTCAACATCGTTCTTCATCAGTGTTGTCAAGTCAAAGTTGATAATCGAAACAGTCGCGGACCCAAGTTGAGTAGATGGGAGATTCGGGGACTTGCTTGCGAACTGTATAATTGTACCACCTGTAAACTATTAGAACATGATTTTGCGAATTCCTTGTGCAAGAACTTACCATGACGAACGCACTTGAGGTTGGCCTCGAGAAGTTTTTGAGTAGGGTTGTATATCAGATCAACTCCTTTTTCTACACGGTCGCGAATAATTGCAGTGAAGTTATCGGTGTCGGCATTAAGAATGTGTGAATTTCTGATGCCGAGATTCAGGAGACACTCTCGCTGATCCCCTGCGTCATTCCCCATAACGGTCACAAACAAATCAGCACACAGATGAGCTGCTATGCTGAGAGCTGCGAGGCCAAAAGTGCTTGCCCCAGCATGGATGAGGACCGACTTCCCGCGCCCGAGTCTTCCAACGTGAACAAGACAGTGGTAAGCACTGACGCACTGGCTGAGAGGAAGGTTGGAAGATCGTTTAGCGACAAAGCGGCTGTCAATATTGACATTGCTCTGAACAGAGCCACCAGCGATAATGCCACAGACGCGATCGCCGAGCATGAACCCAGAGACATTGCGCCCCACGCGTCTAACATGGCCGCAGATATCAGTGCCAATTTCGGAATCCCATGTCCTTCCCATGACAGTATCCAGGTCATGAAAGTTGAGAGGGGCACTCTCGAAAACAATCTCAACCTCGCCAGGCTGCGGAGCAACGTTGGCTCCGGCAGTGAACATCAAACTAGGGTTAACCAGACCGGGTTGAACAACTTGAAGCTTCAAGTGACGTGGGTAGCTGTGGAAAGATACCTTTGTCGTGTTGTGCGATAACCCTTTCTCGACAATGTCGTTGAGCGACTCAATGGGAACCAATCGGGGGACAAAAATCGTCCCATTCTTCTCGGCAAACTCTAGCTCGTGATGACCAGATCTGGATGCCCATGCGAAGCTTTGCAAGAATATCTTGTCGATGGACTTGACAGTTGAGAGAGAGTCCAGTGGGGTATTTATGTTCAAGTCAAACGTCACAAACAATTTCAAAGGATCTTCTGAGTTGAGTGTGCGTGCCAGAGCAATGATGGGGGCGCCCTTGGGGTTCATAGGCTCCATATGAGCACCGCGCGAGACCCAAAGGATACCTTTGGCTAACTGATGAACAGTATGGAAAGCGTTGAATTCTGCCTCCGTCCAGTTGTAGACGTATGCATTTGGGTTATCTGTAGCGAAGTCGAGAAGAGAGATGACAATCTTACCCTTGAGCTTGTTTGGCTGGCTCATCACTTCACTGAGATGCATGACGTGAATTTGTAAAACAGTATAACGCTCTACGATGAGCTTGCCAGCAAGTGATCGTGCCTCGGGAAGAGATTCGTTGGCCAGAAGGATTACCACATCAGGCACAGAAAGCCAATCGTGGGCCGGATCTGCGCGGTGAACACTAAACTTCATTTCAACAGCCTGACCACTGTTATCCCGGTAGCTGTGGGCGACAACCTCTTTGTCCACAGCGTCAAACTCGCCAGGTGGCAAGCTTTCCAGTAGGAAACCAGGCCGGTTCAAGTGTGTCAGAAGCCGGGGGGTGTCTACACCATTCTGGACACAAACAAGTATAAGATCATACTTGGGCAAAGGCTCAGAGCCATCAATTACCCGATTCTCGATGAAGTGTTCGTAGTGTGTTCCCTCGACCATAGAAGGCCTTTTCAAAGCCTTGCTGCCAGCAGTGTGCCCCAGTGTGTATCGAGAAAACCAAGGCGTTCGCGTGCGAGTACAGTCAAGTGCACTTAGAATGTTCAGTGCTGTAGATGAGCTGCCGCCAACCTGAAGAACCGAGAGACCCGGCAGTTTGTGGGCAAGCGTTTTGGCGAGAGACTCAATTGTCAAAGATCGCGAACAAGTGATGTCCTGTGTCCACGAAACCTGAGTGCATAGATTGCGGTTGTTAGGAAGAAAGCCACCCACAGCTTGAGCTGAATTGGCGATGCCAGTGAAGTGAAGACCGCTGACAACGACCGAGGGTTGGTCCCAACATGACTGTGTCATGGCGATATCCGTGCTAGCATCACGAAGACCTATCCGAGTAGCAGTAGAATACCCATCAAAACCCTTATCAAGGTCGCGCGAAATATCTGCCGAGACAAATATGCTCTTGATAAATGTCGGAACCATAGGCTCATTCGAGATTGCGAAGGGTGTCTGGAACATTGAGTCTAGGGTTGCGGGGTGAATGAGATGATCATATTCAAACTTAGCAGGCATCTTCGAACGTGTGTCGGGAATGCGGATCTTGGCAACGCATGAGCTGTTCCCCTGGAGGATATGGGTAATGTTGCGAAAGGTAGGACCGTAGTTCATGCCAACAATGTCGAGGAGCTCGTAGAGCTGCCTGGGAACGACCGACTGCTTGCACGTTGTCTTGAGTAACTCAAACTTCTTACGGTACTGATGAAAGGCGACCTGCCAGTGCCCTCGTTTGTATCGCATCTCGATACAGCCTGTGGCATTCTGTTCCCATGAGGAATCCAGTTGTTTTGAGTAGATACAGAACTCGAAGGTGGTATCCTGCTGCTGATCACCGGAGGTCGAGATACGCTTGAAGTTCATGGCCATCTCCAGTCCATGTGCAGTATTTGGCACAATCATGGCCTTTTCAATTCGCATGTTGAGAATCTCAAACCCAAGAAGATTCTCCGTATCTTTCGCCAGTTGGCTTGCTCCTTGTAGAGCCATAGTGACCATGCCAGCTGCTGGATATATGATGGTCTTTTGTACCTGGTGATCCTGAATCCATGGATTTTCCGAGATACGGAGGAAACCACGCCAGCGAGGTTCATAGGAGATGGCATCGGCGGTAGGAGCACCGATAAGATCCTGCCGAGGAAACACTCTGAAGCGGTTCGCTTCACCGAGATGAGATTCGTGCCAGTAAGACCTGGTGTGGTTCCATGGATAAGGAGGGAGGTCGGCCAAGCACTTTGGAAGAACTTCGTAGTTACTTTGAGCAATGACGTTCTCTATATCGAACTTATATCCAGACGCCCAAAGCTCGGCCAAAGACTGCTTCAAAGAAGTCGGGCCATGAGTTTTGTGGCTGAGAGCTGAACGGAAAACGGGCGAGTTGTTTTGCTTCGACTGATTTATGGTGTCAACAACTGGAGAACGAAGCGTCGAGGTAGGGCTCAACTCTAGAAAGATATCGGGAGAATCTTCAGGAGGGAGGGTTAGCATATTGTCGATCGCAGACATGAACAAAACTGGATGGGTCAGGTTGGAGGCCCAGTACCCCTTATCAAGCTTGCTGCCATCGATAGAATTCCCACTGACTGTAGAGAACATAGTCACGGGCTTCCGGTGCTCGCATGGGCTCACAAGACCTAGGGCAGACTTATACTCTTTCTCAACCAACGTCATGTCGGTAGAATGGTAAGCGACCTGGACTGGAAGGATGCGGCAAAAGATACCCTTTGCAGTGAGTTCTTTGTATGCGTACTGGATGTTTTCTCCTCTCCCGGAAAGTGTCACTGATCGAGGGCTGTTAATGCAAGCCACCTGGCATCGGTAAACCTCGGCCTTTGAGCCCTTTGAAACCCCAGGGATATCTTTAGGCTGCAGTCCAGCTACCATCATGGATCCATGAATCGGCGGACATTTAGTCGCCAGGGACGAGGCAGCTACGCCGCGGTAGTAAGCAACCTCCCAGGCTGCCTGTCTTGTCAGAGCGCCCGATGCGTATGCCGCCGCGATTTCCCCAGAAGAGTGCCCGACAACATAGCTGGGAGTGATCTGAAATGAGTCAAAAAGATCTACCAAGGCCATCTGAACAGCAGTGGTAGCAGGTTGGGCGATTCTAGCGTCAGATATGCGAGTCCGGGTCTGGTCCTGGAGTATCTCCTCAAGGAGGTCGAATTGACTTCCGAGAGCGACTTTCATGTAGTGAGAAGCAGCTTCCATAGCATCACGGAAAACCTTGAAATTTAAAAGGTCTTTCCCCATTTGCGCATACTGCGCTCCTTGACCGCAGAAAAGAAAACATATCTTGGGTTGTTTGTTTCTGGAAGTTCGTTTGAATAGGGTATCGTTGACATTCTGAAGGTTGGCGATAATGTCTTCTCGAGACTCGGCAACGACAGCATGTTTCCACTCCAGACTGGAGCGGCGACAACCAAGTGTGTAGGCATAGTTTTGAAGGAAAGCCTCATCGGCTTCCTTCTTTGAATTCAAGTAAGACAGATGGGACTCCAGGATACGGCCAATGCCAGACTTTTCATGCGCTGAATAGAGGAAAAGTTGCGGTTCGGAATCTGTCTTGCGAAGGGGCTTCTTCAAAGCTGAGTCGAAGGCCTCGAGAGAGTTATGATTACCCTTTAGCCCGCGAGCTGATAGATATCGAGGAGCTTCATCCATGATCACATGAGCGTTTGTGCCTCCGAAGCCGAAGCAGTTGACACTAACGCGGCGTAAACCGGGAAGAGGCCAGTCGAGCATTTTGGTCGGTACCTAGGATTCAAGGTGAGTAAGGATTTGTTAATAGAATAGTCCAAGTACATACCTTGACTTTCCAGGTTTCGAAATCGATATCAGGATTGGCTTTGTCGAAATTGATGTTGGGTGGAATTTTGGCATGCTCCAGAGTCAGGACACCTTTGATGAGTCCAGCTACACCAGCAGCGCCTTCAAGATGGCCGATATTGGGTTTAATCGATCCAACGACGATGGGATTATCAACATCGCGAACGGAGCCGAGTGATTCAGAGATGGCTTTGAGCTCACGCCAATCCCCAGCTTTGGTACCAGTGCCATGACACTCGACATATGCGGTTTGGTTGAAGTCAAGACCTGCAGATTCGTAGATGGAGTTGATGTTGGCGACTTGTGCCTCCTTACTGGGTAAAGTTATACCTTTGAGAGTCAGTCGTGACGGGCAAGACAAGGAAACTATTTCACATACCTGTTGTATGACCATCTTGATTGACTTTGGTAGCTCGGATGACTGCGCGAATGGTGTCGTTGTCGCGGAGAGCATCAGAAAGGCGTTTCATAACGACGACGCCGATACCTTCACCCCTACCATATCCATTGGCTCTCGAGTCGAAAGTAAAACACTTGCCATCGGGACTCAGGAAGTTGAGAGCCGTCATTGGCATCATGGTATTCGGGGTAAGAATCATGCCAGCACCAGCGGCAATCGCCTGACAAGTTGTCAGTATCCTCCCACGAACAAATAGCCAGGGGAAAACTCACTAGAGATGTCTCTCCTGTTCTCAGACTCTGTGCAGCGAGATGAACAGACACAAGACTGCCACTGCAGCCAGTGTCAATGGTCATGCTGGGGCCATGCAAATTGAAGAAGTATGAGATGCGGTTCGCCATTATGGCAATACCGTTTCCAGTAGCAGCATATTGAGGCTGCCAATCTGGATCTCTGAGGCATACTTGCTCATAGTCTGTCCAAAGTTAGCAAACATCCGAGCTAGCAGCTGATGTATCTTATCTTGCCTTTGACAAAAGACCCGACATAGACTGCAGCATCGCTACCGTCAACATCCTCCTTTCGAATTCCAGCTGAATATCTAAAGTTAGTATTGACTTGATTGAGCTAGCGGAAAGATTGACCATTTTCAAGTGCCTCATACGAGGCCTCAAGAAGGATTCGCTGTTGAGGATCGATAGCTTTGGCATCTTCTGCCGCGACCGAGAAGAACTAGAAGAAGATGAAACGTCAGAAAAGAATTCTCTTTTTAGAACGGTTCAGAAACTTACAGAGGCATCAAAAGCGGCAAAGTCACCTTTGATGAAGTGGGCTCCGCGGAAGGAGATCTAAGAAAGGTGCATGGTTAGCCATGTTTCATTGAGGACCTGGCATGCTGCTTGACTTACGCTACCTTGACGATCACCACCAGGATGATAGTAGCCATCGATGTTTAGACGATCTTTGGGGAATTCGCTCCATTGAGACTCTCCTCGTTCCAAGACTTTCCATAATTCCTCGGGAGAAGAGGCATCGCCGGGGAACCGCAGGCCGATACCTACGACCGCGATGTCATCCTCCATAACGTTCAAAAAAGCCACCCAAAAAAAAGAAAAAGACAAGTAGGGAAGGTGATATAGCTTGATCTTTGGTTTGGGTTCTTTGGAGAGTGTTGGAAGAAATCAAAAAGGTCTAGGAAAGCTCTGAACAGCAAGAAGGTTGTTGAGGTTGAAGAGAAGGGAAGGAAGGAAGGAATAAGCTGGGCAGTTGCGTGCTAAATATGACGAAATATAGAACAGTATCTCTCAAAGTTTGGCAGTGATAACAGAAGTTCTAAAAGTGCTAGGTCTATGCCAGTGCCAACAAGTTGAAATATATTGGCAGTCCTAACAGTACAGTAGACTGACTGGAGGTGGTTTAATTGGCCAGCACTGGCTGGCAGTTCTGTTCTCAGGCCAGAATAGGACCCACGAGTCTTTTAATTGTTCAATAGAAGAATTAAAATCAAGCACGGGTGTTAAATCAATAGTTGTGTTGTATGACGAGCACGGAGGCTGTTCATCCCCTTGTTCGGTGTTGAGATGAGAAAGGGGTCGAGGATATGAATATGGTCCCTTCTTTTATTCTCGGTCTTCTTGGTCTTTCACCTGAAGAACAGATCTAAATGAAGACTAAAAAGCCTCAATGGATACCTAGCAAGATCTTTAATTAGAATGAATGATCTGACAAGATCGATGCCGTGCCGTCACAACACTGCCACTGCCACTGCCAACAACTTTCCCATCCCGCGGTCGGCGTGATAACTCCAAGTTTGGCCGACGGCATGGAGTATGACTAAAATACCTTGCAGAGACAAGAAACCAGAGCAGGGAAGGTGCAGGAGGAATCCAACTGATCAAAATTATATAATTCAGAGGCCAGGTACTGTCTATTATGTCTGTGTTGGGAGATACATCAGAGTCTACGGTGTGTGTATGCAATGCAGCTTCAAGATGCTAGGTAGGTAGGCAGATGAGGAGAACAACCAGTTCGGGTGAAGTAAAAGATTCCTTTGAGACTGACATGGCGGTCAGTGAGAAAGCAGATTGCCATGCCAAACTGCTTTCCTAACGGCAACGTGCTTCTGCTTCACTCTAGATGCAGTGTTGGCTGCAATATCCCATGGACTTGTTGAGAGGATCATGTATTGTTTTCTTCTTTGGATGATTGATTGATATAGAGTCCAACGTTAATAAAGGCATCGACAACTCTTTTCTGATCTACTGTATACGGCTTGAAATGGTTCATGTTGCCCGCCACCACTACGGCAAAGCTACATGGGACATTTCGTCTCCAGGTGCGGCACTTGAAGTCGGGCTTTTTAATTGAGAAACTCCCGAGCTTCTATTGTCCCAAGAAGCACACCCTCCCCGCATTGATCAGAGAGTGAAAGTCCGGCATATAGGAACGGGGCATTGCCCGTAACAAGTCTATCCTATCGGACAAAGGCAAACCGAGGCCTGATGAACTCCAACCGCAACCCGTTTTTGTAAATTGACTTTACAAAAGTTCACTCATAGGTATCCTGCCTAACAGAAGTACCACTTGGATCCAATGTATCAGAAGACCAACACTAAGGATATGCAGAGTAAGAATGTGGACATCTTTCTAGGGTTGAAGCTGGGCCTCGGAACTGCAGACTTTGACAGCTGGAGTCTTGCGACATACTCGGATACGAGCACCTGACAGTTGATAAGTAGTCAACTCAGTGTATAGGTAGCATGGCATGATATGACATGACATACCATGACTCTGGTTGCGGGGACTTTTGCTCATTGCCTCTTGGGAGCTAAAATTCAGTGGCTTGCTTCTTCTCCATCCAAGACGTTTTAACCCCACGGGACGAGCCGCTGCAACAGGATAAGGTTAAGGGTAGGATATGCAAGAGGGAAAGGAGAGGAAGAGGAGCCAACCTAGCCAAGCTTGGTCAGCATATACGAGCGGTAGACTAGGTACTAAGGTAGCCCCATGTACTGTACATGCTCTTTGCCAGCTGGTCGCAGTCACCCCGGTCGGGCAAGCAAGTACCTTATCCTTGTACACATCATGCTTGGTGATGCTTCTAGGACGGGAAGCTCTCCCGTGTCGCAACGGCTAAATGAAGCATGCAATGCCATGCACGAGGGGGGCCAACAGCGGAACAACCGTTGATAACCTCCCGAAGCAGGTCCGCACGACGTCAGATGGCCCGCAATGGAGCGGACAGAAGGATGATAGGCTGAAGACGGAGGTTCTCGTATCTCACAATTGCCGATTAGAGATCAAGTTGCGGACGAGACGAAGTCTATTCGGCCAAGGTGAACTGTTCCCATGATCACGTGGTATCGTCTCCCTCGTCTCCCTCGTCTCCCTCGTCTCCCTCGTCAACTAAGTTAACGAAGTTGACTACCTACCTTTCCCAGAATTACTAAACGAGCACAGTGTCTCAAAAGAAATTCTCGCCATCAAAAGCCGTCTTGTTCCTGAATCATCCGATTACCTGGGAAAATGTGGCGGAACAAGGTTGCACAGCGTACCGCCAGGCGAGCGTCGTTTGGCTGTCGCTATCCATCCACCAGGAGCTGCTGCTCTTGTCTTTTGACTTGGATGCTCAGCCATACTCGCAAGAAAAGTCTTGCCTGGGTATTTTTGTGCAAGGGAAGGGAAGTCAGCTAAACCTGAACAACACACCATTGCGAGCCATGAACAGCACCACGATTGTACCAGTGAGTACTGGCACCAGTATCATCTTCTGTCCCAGCCTGAGAGCCCACGGATACATGGAGAAGCTTCTTCATTAGGTATGATATCAGAATCTCGCAACTGCACAGACACAGGTAGGCGAAATGTAATCTAAGACCATGCCGACAGCACTTGTCGTTTGGCCGAGGCCCTGGCCCAGCCACGAGAAGTGAACATACTATGTGTTACCAACACATATGCAGTGTCCCACAGTATTGCCGAGGTATTTTCGCTTGGAAGAGAAGACAGCGGTTAACTCGCTGGATTTTGTCACGAACAAAGCAGTTTGACAATCCGTCTCCTTTGTGTCAACTCATTCCACAAATACCACACGGCCAGTCCAACATGAGAATAGAATTGCGGGCTTGGAAACTCCAAACTACATCTTGACAGAAAGAGCCCGGGCCCAAAGCTTCTACTCACCCGTATCACCGACCTGATGGTCATAGAATCACCCTGTCTTACCTAAAGAGTGCCCTCAGTAGCACAGCACCCGTCATAGCCACTGCTCCTGGACTCGTACCACTGTCAGAGAAGATCTCATCTGCTCTGAGATTGAGCTTCGCTCTGGCTGCTTCCTTGGTCCTGGGTGAGGACTGAGGTTGGCGATGGAACTGAATGGCCTCTTCGCTTGTAGTCGTGTAACGGTTGAGGACCATGTCTCAAATATTAATTCGATCCTTCGCCTTCTCCGGCAAGACATCTGTCTAATGTTGGAAGTGTTTCAAGAATATCGTATCGACGTCAAGGTATCGTTGTTGTTGCTCTATTAAAAGCCTGGACTCGATATGAAAAGCAAGCATCCTTTCTTTTCGATTTGACGATTAAAGATATTCCAACTCTTTTAACTCTGCATGAAACTTTGGCTTTTCTTCTCTTCTCTTTTCCTTCTTTTGGGAAGCAACTACCTATCTTGAGAGACCCTTCTTGCCTCGTCGCACCTGCTCTATCGAAAGTCTTTGTTGACGTCGGCTTCCACTCAAGAGGCTCATATAGTCGCCACAGGCACCTGCTTCCGTCCGAAGTTAAGATTCTACAGCTTGGATAGAGACCCCGATTCAACCTTCGACCGACAACAGGTTTCAACAAAAGCTCAAGCTCTCAAGCTAAATATAGTTGGAATCAGTAGCAAGAATGTCCAGTGGATATCGCATGTCGCTTTCCTACCCGAACACATCTTTGGGTCAAATGGCGATGATGGAGAACCCGGCAGAAGAAGACACACCAATAACTGCAACTGCCATTGGGTTGCGGAAGCATTCGGTCACTGGCCCTCGGCGGGCAGTTCTTGTCATATCGTAAGTGACCTTAGTCTTCCAAGATGCCCTTATTAACCAAGATGCCCACTCCCTAGCCTACTCATGGGCCTTCTTTTCTCAAGCCTCGATACCTCGATTGTATCAACATCGCTCTTCACTATCTCGCACGACCTGAACGACTTCACCAACGCTCCATGGATCGTCCTAGCATATCTTTTGACGTATATGGGTATACCCCCCGAAACTCGTGGACCAGGGAACAGATTTTGACAAGATGCAATAGGATTCGCCGTTTGTGTGTCCAAATTGAGTGACATCTATGGTCGGCGAAACATGCTCGTGGTATCATGGGTCATCTTTGTTGGGTTTTCTCAGGGCTGTGGATCGGCTACAAGTATGACAGCCTTGTACGTGTTCTGCTCTGTACTTGTACTCTCTTCTCAAGCTGATCCCCTTTAGGATTGTATGTCGGGCGTTTCAAGGCATGGGAGCGTCTGGATTGTACAGCTTAACACAAATCGGCCTGGTTGAGGTTGGTCCCTCTCATAGTCCCAGTCTGATAGGGGCTTTGATTGGAGCTACACTCGCAGTCGCTTTTGTCCTAGGTCCTATCATTGGCGGTGCAGTCTCCCAGCTATCAGATTGGAGATGGTTATTCAACATGAAGTAAGTACACTCACTTGATTGCGTTGCTTTGCTTTGCTTTGCTTTGCTCTTGGAAGTGACACTGACAAGGTCAGTATCCCCTTCGGCCTCATTGCGATTCTCACCATCACGAATCTTTGGCCACACGAAGAAGTGGCCCACTTCTTCTCATGGAGAGCCTTTGTCAGTATCGACTTTCTCGGCAGTGCTACACTTCTTGCCAGTTCTGGATTTCTCGTATTTGCCATTCAGCAGGCTGGCTCTGAGACTTTTGCTTGGGGAAGCCCAGAGATCATTTCAGCTTTGGCAATATCCGGTGTCAGTTGGTTCGTATTTGTGTGGTGGGAAGTCAACCTCGAGACCAAGCCTAAGCCAATGCGCAACATCGAGCCCATCTTTCCAATTCGACTGATGCTGCGCCGGGTTTACTCTTCCGGACTACTGTAAGTTGATACGAGGCAAACCATCTCAACTGGTCGCTTACATCTTATAGCGTCACTTTATTCACAGGATTCCCTTACATCTCGCTTTCGATTATCATTCCGGAGCGATTCCAAATCGTCAGTCGCCAAGAGGTGCTCATGGCAGGTGTCCATATCCTTCCCATGCTAGGGGCTTGCGCTGTTGGCTCTTTTCTGGGAGGAGCAATATCTAGCCGAAGAAACAACACCTCGTTAACACTTGTTGGCGCTTCTTGTCTTCAGCTTCTGGGTGTCGGACTGATGTCAATGTTGACCGAACCAGACTCGCACACAAAATCCCAATATGCCTTCCAAGCGATTTTTGGTCTTGGAGTCGGCCTTTCTTTCTCGACAGCAACCATAATGACCAGTATCCTGGCAGCTGAACGCAGTGAGCTCGCCTCTGCTCAGGGTGCTGTTGCACAGGCTCGCGTCCTGGGAGGTTGCATTGGACTTTCGAGCTGCACTGTTATATTCAATTCTCACGTTAATGAGTACCTTAAGAACTACCTGACACCGACACAACTCGACAGTCTTCACCGGTCGCCACTTACAAGCTTACAACTTGCAGGAAGCCTACAAGCACTGGTCAAAGACGTCTACGCCGACGCGTTTGCCGAGGAGATCAAGATTATGATGCTTGTCTGTTCTGTCATGGTCATCATCTCTCTATTCTCACTGGAGCGAAACCCTGCGCCACTCGAAAGATTGACAGCTTTCCCTAAGGATGACTTCTCTTCCAGAAGAGGTAGCGAATCTGCCACAGAGATAACCGATGTGTCGAGCATTCGTCGCTCGGTCTGACATGTAGTTATTGTCATTATTTGGTTTTTTTTTTTCTTTTTTTTTCATCTGTCTTTGATTATACGAGTCAACCACAGCTCCTCTTGATAGGATTGGCGTCTTGCGTGGCATATCTGGCGTTGTCTTGAAGTATTGGGGGCCATTCACTGCGCCGCATATGGGTGTTCGGATGTTTCAATAAGCAGGGACTGGATGTTATATGTACAAGTTTATATTGTCGCAAGGTTTGGTGAGGAACCTTTCTTCTGATCATATCAAAAGAGACTGTACCATATCTACGTACTGGTTGGCCTTGAGGGCCTGGATGATCTGGACTAGAAATGCCTAGAGTGAGCCATTCTTGCAGCCAGAACCTAGTACATTGATTCTTATCACTGGCAAGTCAAACACGCGTTCTGTTCGTCTATTCAAGCAAAGTCTCGGCTGCCCTTTACAAGCCAGACAAATTCCGTTCATTTGTATTACCATGGCGCATAGTCTTGCATGGCAACACAATACTAGGTCTACTGGCTCTAGAATATCTATCACAGTTTCTACTGTAATACAGGGTCTGCGTTGCTCTTGGGCCAGTCGGTCAATCGCAAAGTCCGAAATCGGGGCAGCTTGAGAGACCTTACGGATAAGAATGTGAGTCCCCTTTGAGACAAGCCGGTTGTACAGACGGCCTCTATCAACGCCATTGTTGGGTTGAATGACTAAGGCCTGTAGCGAGGAACAGAAGGCAGTGTCTGTTGGAAATTGAGACCATGTTTGTCTTGGACGCTCTGCAACCTTTTTGGAGTTTCACCGCCTATCTGATCTAGGCCACCTCTGTAGGTGCGCGTGAGAGAGAGAGAAAGAGGCTGAATGTGCGAGGAGAGTGTTGGGATTTGTCTGGTGACCTGAATGTCTGGTGAAAAGGTCGTGTGACGAGCACGACTGTAGGGTGGACTGGGTATCGAGATCTGGCAGGAAGAGAATGCAAGATATGCAGTGAGATCTAATGCACTGTGAGAGGTTTCGACCCAGTTACCAAGCCATCCACCTATATGCAGTTGAGCGGACTCAAAGTGTCTTGGCTGGCCCTGCTATACTCAGAAACATATCAAATCTCAGCATTTTTATTTATGGACACTTAGCGTATATAGCCATAACGCTATTCTGTGCTTCATAGTTAACAAAGCTGCTGGTTTTATGAACTGGTGGTCGAATTTTCGATGAGCCATTTAAGAAAGTTCTCCTAGGCTTATAAAGATGCACTAAAAGCACCAGCTCTAACAGAAAGTGAGAATAGTCAGTTGAAGGATACGGAGGCTTCTTCATCAGGTGCCGAGTCAAAGTTTACGGTTCTATCCTGGACGTCTACGGCTGTTCACAGGGTCCATCAACGAACAACGAAGACAAAGGAGCTCAGGGAACGAAAGCTTGAAAATGAAATCACATCAAAACTCACGTACCAAGATCATCTGCCAAACATGACAAGAAATACAAGGACCAAGAAATGGGGGTAAAGATCCCACTCTTCCCCCCAGACACAACCACTGTTCCTAGATAGAGGTATCTCCATATTTGTTCTTTTTTTGCTTTATTCCTTCCTTTAACCAATTGACTCTTTGTTCCCAGAACAGAAGTATGGAAATGCACAAATAAACCCATCAACTGGACACAACTGGACATTCTTCTGCTGTCAGCATCGAGAAGCTGCGTTATCTTGGCGAACTCCGTCACAAGCTAGGATCTTTTTAGACTGATAGAGCAGGAAAGAATAGGACAGAAGGGTCTAGAAGAATGGCCATGAGTAGTTTTGTAAACTCATCACTTATCGCTAATTTTGGGAGGGGACTTTTTACAAAGTTACGAAGGATATCAGCGACTTGAGGCATCGAGGTTTCTCACTGGACAGGTCATAGGATTTAACTCTTTCTTCAAAACCGGATAGAAGTAGCCTTATTTTTATTTTTATTCTCTATTTTTTATCTGGTGCATTTCCTGGTAGGTTTCCCTTTTTGCTCAAGATCGATCCATTTTGTGCTTGAAAGCCACCAAACACTCTGCAGTTGATATCGAAACTGAGGGGCTACAAGCTCATGCATGGGACATCTACCAGTGTGGGAAAAGATTTAAGGATTAAAATCAGAACTATATACAAGATGTGGATGTCATCTAGGTAGTCTTGCAATTAGGGGTCAGGATGCTAGGGCAAGAAGATGCCGTAACATAACCAGAACTCGGGACAGGAAAATACGATGCCCACAGACACAACCTCGAGTTATCGATAAAAATACACAATGATCCCGTGTAATTGAGGTTTGGCTTTTTCTTTGCTGTCTATGGTAATCCCTTGAGCTCTCGTAGTATTGCTGTTGATGCTGCTTAGATCTGATTTCATCCGGTAATGACTGAGTCGCTAATTAAATAAGACTGTGTTGCTTTTGCTCCAATCCTCAAGCTCTGCCAGGTAGCAAAGTTTATGCTTCCTGCATGATTTTGGCTTCACTCTTCTTATGTTGATGAATATAATAAATGACACGTCTGACCTTCCAGAGTCTAATCAATTCTTAGATTTTGCAACACCCAGTTTTAATCACCTGAAGTCCTCTTCTTTTCGGCATGATACTCTCCCTCTTACTTACTATCCTACCCCTCATCTTGGAATTGTTGATGAACATTGAAGAAAACAAAAGGCCCGTCTCCAGTAATAGACCGAAAAGTCCTACGCCCTCAGAGACCGCGCCGATACTGACTTGGGCTGACATCGCAAGTCAGGCGCTTCAAGGTGTCACTTCCTTTTCACTAACAGAATGCGGGGAGGACGATTATATTGACAAGACGCTCAATCGGATCCTTTCGATACTGAAGCCAAGCTCGCCTATGTTCTTTGCATGCCACTCACAACTGAACGACAGGCAGAAACTCTATCTCGAGCACCCGACAGACTACGGTATCAGATTCCTCTTCACCAATCACCCTCAGTACGGTACTGGAGCAAGGCGTTATCTATATTGGGGGGCGGCATCCTATAACCAAGGCGAGAAGGAGAGGTGTTTTGTTTTCTTGACGCTGCTCACCTTTGATAAGCAAGGCGTAGTCGCCTCGAATCGTTGGTTTCTCGATGCTATCAGCTACAAATTCGGAGACACGACTTTGGTCACTATGACACAAGCAGTCGCCATCACACCTATCGGTCGAGATTACATTCAGGGCGTCCTTGATCAGGTCCAGCTTGCTGAGCCTCGGCTCAAACGCCTCTGGACAAAGATGAGCCACTACATCAACGACCACCCAGAACTGTCACATCTTTTATGCTACTACCACAACCGAAACAGCACCTTCGTTTCGTTAACAGAAAGAGACGAGGCTTACTACACTATAGAAAGGGCTTTGGCGGATAACGAATGGTGCGCGGACAAAAGATGTCACCTTGTCAAGGATCTCAGGAAGTCTTATCACGATGCAAGAAAGGAAGAACACAGATTCTTTCCAATTCTTCCTAGGCGGAGTTTTGTACGTAGGAAGAAGCAAGATCAACAGGAAAATAAATGTCGGCCCGCCGAAGACTTATGCGAGGTTTTGACCGGCAAGGTCGTATCCTTTGATCCAAAGATCCATGACTTAGACTGAGAGTTACTTATTGGTGTTGTTTTTATTTAGTTAATACAATATCGGGTTCCTAGTGCCTGGAAGTCAAATGTGTCGAGTGGTTTGATTCAGCACGGTTTCTCATTCTGTCAGCACAAAGTCTCCAGGGTAACTTTTGAATGACCAGGTTGTTTCCTCTATCTATATATCGTGCTTAAGAGTGGTCAGCACCACCGATAGCTTGGGGCTTAAAGTAAACAGTCATGACACCCTCGGGGCTGAGGTTGCCCTTGACAAAATCCTTCAGCGCCTGGTGAGCTTGGCAGCCATCATCATAGTACTTCATGTCGTCCATACTGGCAAATTCAGTTTTGGAGACAAAGGTGTATCCCTGAGATCGAGCATCCTCATCAGCGGCACCGACGACCATGGAGAGGATATAAGGCTTGCCGTCCTGAAAATGGTTAGTATCGCTAGATATGATAGAAGACTGGGCAAAGGTCACCCTTTGCTGAGCGGCATCAAGCTTGTGGTACTGGTCCAGCAGCTTAGCCTGATCGTCCTTGCTGGGGAGCTTGAACATGGTGATTCGGTGCACACGGTTGGCCATTTTGACAGTGGTGGTTTGGGTGAAGGGTCTCGATATGCTACTGAAACTGGAACTGAAAGGAAGGCTAGGAATGATTCGTTTAGAAGAGAGAGTTAGAGCCTGGACGAGACTGGAGTTCATATATGAATGATCAAGCAAAAGCTTGGAGAAGTAACAGGGGACAAAACAAAGAGAAGGCGGTTGTATGCGGGTCAAACGCGGGGGTGCCGACGGCGGTTGGAGCCTCGGAGGTTATTTCGTATTACTAAGATAAAAGAGCCAATCATTTTGCATCGTTTTCACGAATGCAGGTACTCAAGATCAATGACCTCTGATTCCGCTCTCGACCCCGCGATTTCCCGTTTGTTATGCCGCCACCGCCAAAGCAGTTGAATATATCTGCCTAGGTACGTACCTACCTACCTCAGTAGGTTGTTCATGACATTCACTGACATAAGCGTGCTGGCTCATATAGTATGCTCTTCATCAACTAACTACCTGAGGCTCCTAAGCTGAGTTCAAAGCTTCCAAGAAGGCTACATAACCTAAATTCGGTTGTTTGATAGGTAGGTAGCCCGAACAGCACAGGCCAATCAACTCTTCTACCCCGTCCCCACGGTCTGGCCTAGGTCGTCTACCTACTATATACTACATACCTAGGTGGGTAGTAGTTATCAGATCTCCGACTCCCAACTATCCGTACCTACCTACGTACTAAGGTAGTAGGTAGGTAGGTAGGTACTCAATCATTGGCGGGAGAATTATCTTCCACATTATTGCATTTCTTGCATCTTCCCCCCCCTTTCTTTCTTTCATCGCAGACACGGGATTGTTCTAGATTCTAGTAAAGCTGCATCCCTAGTTCACTCCCGATTTGGATTACTTCCAGGCTCACAGCCTAACTACACAATTAACCATTCACCCGGGTACATAACACCCCCTCTCTCTCTCTCTCTCTCTCTCTCTCTCTCTACAGAAACAGCCATGGCCAATTCTGACCGAATCCCTACTTCCCCAAAAAGTTGACTACATATACATGCAGCCGTTATTTTCCTTTGTACCCTTCTTTACAAACTCCTTCGCTGGCTTGCTATACATCAAAAAACACCAAATCACTTTTGTTGTAAACCTATACAATAGAGAAAACAGGCACACCACTCCTTTCGCCTCCCAGAGCATTATCTACAAAGTACCCATTGCCACTTGCCCATTAACCCCAGACTGTAGGTCAACAAGATGTCGACATAGGCCTTCGACAAGCGGCGGCATGGCTTCATTGGTAGCAGGGTAGTTAAGTCGAAAAATGTGTCGACCCAGGGACAACATTGCGGCATAGTCTGACACGGGATCCAACTGAGAGTGCATCCCTCCCGGTGACGCCAGGGACGGTATGCCCTGGCCAAGCTCGAGAAATGCTGTCAACTCACTCGTCTCCGGTCCATTCAAAGAGACTGTCTCGTCGCCTGCCCCTTGGTAGTCATTTGTTGACTGCTGCGAGACCATACCATACGCCCACAGCGTAAGGCTAGCAAAATACACTACCATGGCGTTGAATCCTTGCAGTGTCGTTGATTTACACTGTGCCGCATGTCGAAGCACTTGCCCAGCATGCCAAACAGCATGACGAGACTCCAATCTGGGTAGCCAGCCTTTCTCTAAAGAATGCGCAGCTCTTCGAGACTCTTCCTCGCCCTTCCTGCCTGCGAGACTCTGCAGATCATTCAGCGAGACATGGAGGATCATCATGAACAGTTCCGAGAGGAGCAAAAGCTCAGGACCAAAAGTCTTTACCTCCTTGACCTTGTCTGAAAATCTTCGAAGACCACTATAGAGACTCTGGTAGAGGGAATGTGCCCATAAGGGGACGTCAGAGCCCGAGTGATCTGAAGTTGAGTTGTGGCGGGGGGCAATGGCACAACGATAAGTCCACACTTGTCCCCATAACCCATGCAGGGCAACTTTGCAGCAACTCTCGATATCCACCCAGGCGTTTGGTTCAGTAACAAAAGCCATACAGTCCCTGATATCTGAAAGCCGTGGAACATCGCCAGCAGGCGACACTCCCTTGCCAGTATGCAACTCGCACCACATATGCGAATTGCTGGCCTTCCAGAGATCGCCAGCTGCTGGAAGGGCGAATTCAAGCTCGTTGTACGCCAGTGTGGGCCCTTTCCATGATAATATCGATGATTGCACGTCGTGTAGAAATGCCCGCATGGCTAATCTATACCCCAGTCAGTATGGCATGACTTTAGTAGCAGCTATGTAAAGAACCTTTTGCAGGACTCGAATGTAACAAAGCTTCGCCATTTCGACTCCACTATTTCAGGGGAATCGCCAGTGTTAGGCGTGTGAGCATTTGTGTCCGACGTGAAGCTTGTTCTACCAGTCTTTCGAAGTAACTATCAACATTAGCCTGCCAGTCAGGAATCATCGTCAGAACAGACCCACGGTCATCAGCTGCGGGGCAGAACTTTCTGCTGCTGCTGTTTGTTGGTTAAAGCCACTCCACTGTCCAGTTTCGAGATGGAGCATAGAGGCTTGAAACACCATCAAGTCCCGTAATATCACACTCGAAGATTCAAGCTACCGATGGTTAGACAACCGTCTTAAATCCTTGCTCCGTTCAATTATAACGAGAAATAGTTTTGTCGGACGGCAGCATTCAAGACATACCTTCTGAATTATGCCTGCAGTGAGACCGTGAAGAGCCAGAGCAAACTGCCATATTGCTGGATTAGATATGTAAGTAGCTCCGTTTGAAACAACAGCAAAGATGAGATCAAGGCTAGTCGTTGTCGAGTCTAAGGACGATCTGTGGATGAAGGCTTCGCTTTTGAAATCCTCGACAACAAAGTATGTCTCAATCATATAATTCAAAAGGTCAGCCGATGGGAATGACGGCACCCGATTTGGGGTAGGATTGTTGGAGAGGACCATAGCAAACAGGCTGTCCCGTGAGTAAGATGAGATTATGTCTGAAGGAGGCACTGGGCTCCCTGCTTGGCTGCTGGTCTCAGGTTCAAGTACCCATGTCGAACTTCCAAGGTGTAAGCTTTCTGTCTTCGCATCTTTACAGGCTTGACGAGATCTTTTGGCGCCCATTCCAGACTCGGGGCTTCGTTCAAATGTATTCGATCGTGGGGCCTTGATCAACCCGAAGTCTGAATCCCAGGAAAACCCAAAGTCTGGGAACAACCTTTGTGACGCTGCGAAGTACAGAGATTCTTCTGCTGCATCTTCAAAGCTTGAAGCGCCAAGGAGAGAGGCAGTATTATAATCCACAGTGGAATCAATTGCATGCTCTTGGCTTGCGATTACTGACTGTGATAGAGCATAAGCAGCATCGCCAGCAGTAAATGCCTGGCTGTCGTTCCCCCCCGTAGAAGCGACCATCGAACTATCCGAGGGCGACATGCCAGCCTGCGAATCCGATGTTCTGTATTGGTTCCCTCGCCTGACAGGCATCTGACATGCCAAGCTCTTACTGCGGCATCGACTGCACGGCTTCTGATCCTCACATTTTGCTTTTGACGCTGCGCAATTGAGACATGCCTCGGCGGCTCGATCGCTCCTTCTGATGAAGGGACGATCCTTGGCGGCCCCGTCTCGATCATGGGTAGTTTCATGCCGTGTCAAGAGATCGGCGCGGTTAAAACGCTTGGGACAGCGAGTGCATTGATACGGTCGGGCGTTTTCGTGGGATCTGAGGTGTCTTGTCAGATGATCGGCGCGTTCATAAACGCGACGGCAGATGTGACAGACGTGAGACGGTGAGGAGGCGGACGCATTCGAGAGTTTTCGCTTGGCGGGCAGTACGGATGAAGATCGCTGTGGTGTTTCTCCAGAATTCTCTCGCAGTACGGGATCAAGCTGCTGCTGGAATACATGGTGTTTCGAAGGTGACACTGGAGGTAGCGAGTGCTGCAACTCATGTTGTTCTTGCTGCAGAGGCGGCTGGATTCGTTGGTGCGGGTCGGGGGCAGGAACGGGTGTTGCTAGGGAGAAGAGCGAGGAGAGCAACATGTCAGAGCCAGCGGCATCGCAAAGAATGTCGATGCCATTCTGCTCGGTAGCTGCCATTGGGTACGAAGTCCTCGGCCGATGTACCCCTTGCTTCACCTCGGAGGAAAGCAAAAAAGCAAAGCAAAGCAAAACGAGCCGAGCCGAGTCAAGTTAAGCCGGACCGTGCCGTACTATTCTTGATCACGGAGAGGTTACCACGCCCGGACTCACCCAGATGACCACGCGTAGCTTATTGAGCCAGAGGCGTCAGGGATTAGCGAGTTCCAGTAAGTAATTGAGACGAGATCAGGCTATGCAATCGACACAACTCGAAGGTCGCCGTTGTGGTTTCTCGGAAGAGAGGGGGCGGGGGCGGGAGATGTGACAGGCGTTTAGCGGATTCTGGTGGGGTCCGGTCTTGCCCTTTCACGCGGCTATTCAGCGAGTTAGAGCAATCCAATTTCATTCATCAGGGACTGAACCTCTGTGACCCACTAGAGCCCAGCCTGATCCACTTCCCGGGGCCGGCCTAATTCAACGGCCGGCCTCCAATCCCGGACTCTGTGTCTAACGGACATAAACACCCGGTCCCGGACCCCGAGTCCCACAATGTCTTGGATTAGCTTCTTCCATGGACCGTCCTTAGTTGCATCAAGGGTAGATGCGGTAATTGATATTCGCAAGGTTGAAGTTGGACGGCTTTTCCACTCATGTGTACTCCTCAGTCCCCGCATGTTTATGTATATCACTTTGTCTATTCATCTCAGTAGTACGGCACCAAGTAGGTATGTAAGCTGATCGCATTCAAGTCAGCCCTTGCATAATGCTCAATACACATATACATGGGTTGAAGTAACACCTCGGACAGGGGTAGTAACTGACAGCTGGTAAGCTTACCACAATGTTCGGACCAAGCAGGTATCAAAGTACATACTGTAGTATCTGTCAGTGCAGTTCCAGCAGTCCTATGGCGTCACTTGAGTCATTTAATGAAGAATACCAACCTGGGTCTGCCAGGTCAAGAGTCTAGACCGATATGTCTCAGTCTTCTTATCAGGCCTACGCATGCCAAGGGGGATTGGCGCAGGGTATGAGAAAGGCGATCAGACAATACCGATTATATTCTCCGTTGTCTTACATGTCTAGGTACCTATCTACTAGGCACGCCATTTGCAACAGGGGTGGAAAGACGAGTGCTCACGAGTCAGGAGATGGGTTGCGCTATGGAAAAAGTTATTGTATTATGAGATTACATAAGTTTATAGAAAATCGTGGTCCGCGTTACTGTAAAAGTTCAAACACATAATGAAGTACCCATGCTACCATCCAGTGTACTGTACATGGCTGATATGGTTGGTCCTTAGATCCCTGCCGTCAATCCGATCAACTAACCACTCGATCGTCTTATGCAACTCATGCGTTTTATCCCATAGAAACCCGGCGGAGCTGTACGGTGCCATTGCGGATGGTGCAAGTCAACCATCGATGTACCCATAAGATGCTGATAGCATGGCTTTTACTTGGGTTCCAATCCCCAGATCATATATTAATTCAACCACCACTTCGGAGGTTGACGTGACTCGTGCTTAGTCAGGACAAAGGAGCATATGCCAAAGATGCCCGTCAAACGTTGACTCGTCCATAGAGGAGCCCTGCAGCTTTTCTAAGATGTCTGCCCAATCTCCGAAAGAACAGAGGCAAGTGTTGTTTGTGCCATCAGATGGCATGAAGGTGTCTACTTGGCACCATGAGTTGCATAAAGCTCTACTCCACCCATCGCTTTTTTTCTTGGCCACGATTCATGTTTCTTGCTGGCAAAGCCTTGCCAATTCTGTTGCTGATGTCGTGCTCCAACAGCTGTGACTTGAGTTAAGGTCGGCATTCTGTCGCCCCTCAAAACTGCCACGCATGTACTATTGAGCATCTCAGTGGCTGATAATGTTTCTGATTGATTTGACATAATTAGTGACTTGTTTGGATCCGAAAGATGATGAAACTCACTTTAACTATTGGATGATTCTTAATCGACGCATGGAGTTCCACAATAGCCGCAGGCGCGGCCTGGGATCACCCAGACTTCTTTTCCTGCTAGAGCGCACGTAGGACAGCGAGTTCCAGGTACTTTATGAGATCTGAAGCCGAGCGACAGAGCCGGTGATATCAAGGTTGCGCACTCTGAATATGAGTTAGGGTGTGTCAAGACTTCCATCTGTTCTTGATCATCCTGAAAGTTCACGCAGGTAGTGGGAAATAGAGATTGAGGCATGGCGGTGTTGAATGCTATTTCTCTGGTTGAGACAGTTGAGTCTTGAGGACAGAAAGGTTGTCTTGATGGCGAGTCGATAGCGGAATTAAACCTTGGATCAGGAAACAATATAGGAAGAATCTTGAAGATGTCAGGATCCAGACGACCTGAAGGAGGTGGGAAGCTGGACGGGATTTATGGTTTCTGAGAACTAACTAAAGGTTGGCAATAGTGCGGCTTATACATGGATCGGGAGGGCTGAGAAGGGTAAGATCAAGGGGTCCAAGAACAAAGCACGGGAATTTCTCGAGACAAAACAGGTACGCAACACCCTACCACAAGGATGATGCTCCCATCTCTTGACGATCGGTAGGCAGCCCAGGGCCGTAGTCTCGGTGGGCGCTGGGGCCCAGCGGTGGTAGCATCAGACCTGTCACATCGGCTTTCTGCCAGACTGAAGCTGTCATTACTTGCCAGGGAGTTGCGTGGCGCTGCCCTTGAAAGAGAGTGTGGGCCAGCTCGATGGAGGTGGGGTCTCCTTTGTTGTATCCTTTCTTTTTGTTCTAACTTTGACCTCAAAATTCGGTGATCAGCATTGATGCCGAAATATGTCGTCCTTGCGCGGACGGGGTCAATCGACGAGCTAAACCCAGGTTGGACAAAAGCTCCCTCATGTTCGTTTGCTTCGCTCTCTAAGTTCGTATACTTTTTTTTTTTTCTTTCTTTTTTCCCTTTCCTTAAACGTTCCCATAGACACTCCAAGGAAGCCAACGCAGGAAAGAGAAAAACAACTCCTGTTTGGCAAGAATATAACAGGACGGCGATTGAGTGTCTTATTGGTCAGACCATTTAGGGGGGTTGCTGTATTAGAGCTTGGCGTCGACACAAGGAAAAGCAAAGTTGTGACTGCTCGTCTCCGCAAGGGTCACAGCGACAAGGAGCCCACGACGCTGACTTGCTTGTTGATGGCTGGATTGCGATCAGGTCCAGGGGACTCCCTCAAGCGGCTTGGCTTTCAGGTAGAGTGTCTGGAGGTGGTATGCCGGACTGGCCTGCCCAGCTTAACCTCCGTCCAAATGAATAGCGGGCAGCAGAAGCTTCGTATAGAGTCTGTGCGCTGCACCGAGGTGGTAAATCTGAAGATCAAGGGAAATTTCCCTAACAAACACGATCTAATACCCTGGTCGCCCATCCACATCGTACACCACGGCCCAACCCCAGGCCTTGGCGGGCACCAGGGCTCTGGAATGATGGACCCTCGTTCCTCTTCTCTTCTAAGGTCAATCCAAAGTGACGCCGTCAGATGCCGCGCCAGGGCCGGCTCATTGCCCCTCTCCCTTGTACTGCAGGACGTACTCTGTACAGTAGGTACAGTTAGGACGATCGCCAGTACGTCGGGCTATCTCACCGGTCTGTTGGTGCTAACATAGATGAAGCATCCACAATGCCGCAGAATAGTCCCCTGGCGTATTCCGCTGGCTTTCAACGGTAGAGAGTAGGAGATCTCCAACAGAGCACTGTAGATCCTAGGCCGAAAAATGCCGGGTTTGGATATACTTGGGTAGGCGTCAAGACCTGTGAATGGGAATTATAGTATCTGAGACCCGGGAAGTCCGTGGTTGTGTAACGTAGTTTCGCAACATGTATATTCCCCTACGGGGTTTGTGTGTGAGCAAAGCAAGGTAAGGTAAAGCTGCGTAGGTAAGTAGGTCCTTTTGGGCCAAAGGTTGCGAATCGTCAGCATTCGACGGGCCGGCGTCGGATGGGGAGGAAAGCGATGGGGACAGTGGAGTTGATGGAGTCAATCGATACTGGGTCAAGCGACGTTGGCGTCGGAAAAAGCAAGAAAGGAATATAAGAGGATAAACTACTAAACTAACTTAGCAGACTACTACTAGTAGTTAGGTAGGTCCTTTCTTTTCACGTCCTTACGTTTTGGGTGATTTTTTATGGTCGTGAGGCTGTCGTTGTCATCGTATCTAGGTACTGTACAGTACCGTACTATTGTGTCAGGTGTGTCTCTTCCTTCCAGTCAAGTGGATGAAAAGCTGCAGTTGGGATTGGCTAGGTACCTGCCTTGCATCGCATGGATCACATGGATTGCATTACATGGATCGCATTGCATTGGATCTAATCGGCATCTGAGTCGCCAAGTACCGCTGCGTGCCTCCCAGCCAGCCACCGGGCAGTTGAGTACTATACTCAGGTTAGTACTGAGTACCTACAATACCTGAGGTACCTAGGGTATAGGAGGTATCCAATGGATGTCGAAGAAAAATGGAAGCTGCTTAGTGAGGTTGTATCTCTACGTTTCGATGCAATCTCCAGAACTCGGGGTAGATACTGAGTGAGGCTGGATAGTAGGGGGGAAAAGGTTCGCGTCCCGAGTACATGGTAGCTCTCGATCGCCTTCCCGTCGGATCGTGCATCTGCATACGCCTCTTTGCAGATCGTGCTTGTTTTGCAAGTACTGTACTGTATTGAACTGCACTGCAAACGTGTAGGTATGGACGGTACTGTATATGCGAAATCGGTAGCAATAAGATAACCAAGCTCGTGGTAATTCTTTGGGCGTTTCCACGAATCGATACCACCGCATCCATTAGTCAAAGTCAAGCTACTATAGCGTGCAGATGGTGAGATGGAAGCTCTAGAATCCTTCCAGTGACATGGATCGATCCATGGATAGGTTAGTACTAGAGGATGTATGCAGCACTGTACAGTACATTGTTGGCTTTACTGGGCTGTACATCCATCTATGCTGTCCTCTCCTTGGTGCAGCGGGTCTCCCTCCACTGAATGTCCCTCGCTTCAGCGCACCTCATCTTTAACC